TTTTGTGGTGGCGGGGTCCATCTCTTGCGAGTTTTTTTTGGGGAGAGGGACCTGGCGCTCGGGAGAGAGGGGCTTTCGTCTTTGTTTCTCTTTGTGTTAGTTTTGTTCCCCTCTCTGTCATGTCTTTTTCTCGGAACGAAAATAGACCCCATCAACCAGGTCCTCACTTACCCGTACCACAGTCCCAGGTATCCTACCTACCGAGGCCATGGAGACCACAACCAACAGGACGGCATACTCCAGATGTGGCCGGCACCAGAGTTCTGTAAGTGGTCGGATTCTAGTTGAACTCTCTTCGGTAAACACCCTTTTAATACATAATAAATATTCTGCTGCGGCTTGGCATTGCTTGCTATTGCTGAGTCTGATCTCCTAGGACCACCAAATCTTTTTTTCCATCTTTGATTCCCCCAGAGGTTCTCCTCCTAGCGAGTAACTTCCATTCAGATTTTTAGCTCCCAAGTGCACTACTTTACATTTTTTTCCATATTAAAGGTCATCTGCCCTGTAGCTGCTCCTCCTCTATTATAGCCTCCTTTAGGTTTCTATATCCTGCTGTGAGGTTATCACCCAGCTTGGCTTTGTATCCTCAGCAAACACTGAGATTGAGCTCTTTATTCCAACCTCTGTATCATTATAAACCCAAGTTGGTCCCAGGACAGAACTCCTTACAACTCCAGACCATTGACAAAGTATACTATTAATCACTACTCTCTGGATGAGCCCCCCCAACCAGTTTTCTATCCCAAGTACATATGATCTCATCAATGCCAAAAGACCTTCCTTTGTAAATGAATCTTGTGGGGGTCCTATTTTATTGAAATCTACATACAATACATCCGCAGGCCTTCCTCTATCCAAATGAGCGCTCACCTTGTAAGGAGGAACTCCGAGGGAAAACCTGAGCACATAGCTGAAATACACAACTGTCAAAGGACCGGTGCTTTTGTTTGGCTGGTCTTGTGATTCCCACAGCTAGACAGGTGACCCCCTATTTCCATGTTTTTACAGATTCCTGGGTCGACTTTCCAGTCCTACCCCACTCACAGGGTAATGAATTGTCAATCACATGGTTGATTCATTATCCAGTGAGAAGGCGGGTGATACAGGAGCTGAACCAGGAAATAGAGTCATCTTACTGGCTGCACGGTGCAGAAGGGGTGTGTGAACCACAAGAATGGCTGAATGGTAGTTTTTTTGTTTTTCTAACCAAAACAGACAGACAATCTAATTATATATAGGAGTTGCTGCTGCAACAAACTTTTTTTTTTTAAAGTACGAATTCTGGGCTATATTCCTTTTCCTTACTTACTAATCGGTGAACTGATACAAATACGCAGCCAGAGAAGTGATGGGGCAGCTGATGTTCACATATCTCTGGTCAGGGACTCCCAAGAATGTTCACATGCAATACTAGTTTATGACCACCGGCTGGCGCTGATGTGCAGTAAGAAAAACTGCACAGTTTGCTAATTAGGGCCATGAATAAGTAAAGGTTTTTTTATTGTTTTTTGTTTTTTTTGCATATTAGAAATCTCTATGCAGCAACTGCCAATCATTGGGTTCACTAAAAGCCAATGTTACACAGCAACATAATCATTGTGACAGGGAAAGTAAGGCTGCAGTAAACAGAGTATATGGACAGAAAACAGGGCCCTTCACGCCATGTCATGTGGCACGTGCACTTCTGCAGCTGAGCCACCCCTCTCGTCTTTGCTGCCCACTGCTGAGACAAGGTGGGGGCAGAGAGGAGGGACAGAACTCCTCCTACAGATCCTGTGCTTCTCAGTGCAGCCGCAGCACCCCCTCATCTCTGCCTCCCCTGGATTCAGCAGGTTCCGGCAGCTAACTCCAGCCCTCCTCTGGTCCTCCTCCAGACCCTGCACTTTCTGTTTCCCAGGTCCACCCCCAGCTTCTCCCTGGCAGCAGCACAAGGTAAGGGGGGGGTGCACTGTGACATATTGGAGGGTGGGGGACTCTTGACTTCTGATGAAGGGGGTGTTGTGCGCTGGACATCTAGTCTTAAGAGAAACAACCGGCAACCTTTGAGGGCAACCATAATGCTGATATGGTCTGTGATGAAACGGAGTTCGACACTCCTGCATGAAGGTTAAAAAAAAAAAGGTGTGGCCTTTGAAACTACATTAAGTCTCTGGGATAGGAATTGGACCGCCCCAAAATTTAGACAGCAAATAAAAAACAAAAAAAATTTAAGCCTGGGTTCACATATGTGCGGTGCGGTATATTGCACGTGATTCGCACAGGAACCGCACCGTATTCCTGTGCGAATCACATGCGATCTGTGTGCGGTGCGATCGGAGAGCCGTACATTTTGTATGGTTCTAATAACACCGCACCCGCACCAAAAACGTGCAGGACCCTTTTTTTGGGTCGGCACTAGAATCGGATCGCACGGGTATTCACACCTATGCGATACGATTCTGCACATCGCACCACGTTTTGCGGACAGCTTTCGAGGCGTTGTTAACATACACATGCAGCGGTTCACATGAACGGGGTGCCATTCTGATGCGGAGACCTCATCAGTGTGAACCCGGGCTAAATGTACTTTAAAAGCCCTAAGTCATACTTTCTGCACCACAAAGCCCAACCCTCAAAGGCTAGGTCCACCTTTTGCAAGAAAAAAAAAACCCCCAAAAAAAAAGTAGTAAATACAGCATCACTGATTTTTAAGGATCTATGTGCATCTATTACTTTCTTGCAATGGCGCCGGCACAGCACTGCCCTGTGATCACAGGCGCATGGAACTTTCAAACGTTTCCCCTCACCCTCAGGCCTGAATGGAGGTACGGACCTGAGGCAGGAAGTGTGGACTGGACTATAGACTGGGGACAGGAAAGAAGGATCGCTGGCACGCTATGCACAGCACCTTTGCCACAGTGGCAGATGGGACTTGTAGTAATGTTTGTAAACAATCCCAGGCCTGGATGACACAGCTGTATGGGTGTTTTGGGAGTAACCCCCGGTTCACATCTGTGCGAGCGGTGCCGCTGCGGATCTGCGAATCAGTGTAGCCGCACCACCCGCACAGAGAATTGTACACCCGCCCTAGGTTCCCATGCGGGCTGCGTTTTCCAAAGTAGTGCAGGGACTTCTTTCCCTGCAATGTCACAGGCACGGGAGTCCATTCAAATGAACGGCTTTCGTGCCCAAACAAAACGCAGCCCACACGGCCACATTATTATTATTATAATACAGTATTTATATAGCGCCAACAGTATGCTCAGCGCTTTACATTACAATGGGAGACAATACATGAGACAGTACAGTAACAATACAATACACGAGGGGTTCGAGGGCCCTGCTCCTTGGAGATTACAATCTAGGAGGGAGGGGATAGTGGTGCAGGAGGAGATAGCTGTGGGGAATGGAGTGGTAGGAAGAGTGGAGAAGTTCAGTAATTAGCTGAAGGTGGGGTAGGCTTCCCTGAAGAGATAGGTTTTCAGGGTGTGCCTAAAGGCAAGAAGAGTAGGTGATAGTCTGATGGATTGGGGTAGGGAGTTCCAGAGGATGGGGGAAGCCCTGGAGAAATCCTGGAGCCGGGCATGGGAAGAGGAGACCAGGGAACTAGAGAGTAGGAGTCTTTTAAGGAGCGGAGAGTACGTTTTGGGTGGTATTTGGATACCAGATCAGTGATGTAGTTTGGGGCAGTGTTATGAACAGCTTTGTACGTCAATGTTAGCATTTTGAATTTTATCCGTTGGGCAATCGGAAGCCAGTGGAAGGGATTGGCAGAGGGGGGTGGTGGATACGGAGCGGTTAGTAAGGTGGATGAGTCTGGCCGCAGTATTCCGGATAGACTGAAGCGGGGATAGTCTGCATTGAGGTAAGCCGATGAGGAGGGAGTTACAGTAGTCAAGGTGTGATATGATGAGGGAGTGGATGAGTTGCTTAGTGGTTTCCGGGGTTAGGAACGGACAAATTTTGGAGATGTTGCGGAGGTGGAGTCTACAGGAGTTTGTCAGTGATTGGACCTGGGGCTGGAAGGATAGATTGGAGTCTAGGATGACACCTAGTATTCTGGCTTGAGGGGAGGGACTGATGATGGTGTTATCGGTCTTGATGGAGAAGTCAGGGGAGGGGGGGGGGGGGGGGGGGGCTTTGGGGGGAAAACTAGGAGCTCAGTTTTGGAGATTGGAGTGACATCCAATCCGATATGTCGCTCAGTAGGCTAGTGGTACAGGCAGAGACTGAAGGGGTGAGGCGAGGGGTAGAGACATAGATTTGTGTGTCGTCGGCATAGACATGGTAGTTGAAGCCGTGAGAGTGTATGAGTTGGCCAAGGGAGGAGGTGTAGATGGAGAAGAGAAGGGGCCCGAGGACAGAACCTTGAGGGACCCCGACAGAGAGGGGGAGTGAAGAGGAGGTGGCAGCGTTGTAGCTAACACTGAAGGAGCGCTGTGGTCACATAGATATGAACCGGGGGTAAGGAGTGTAGTTTTATATAACAACCTAAATCTGGTTTCGCATGCTATCACATGTGGAGCTTTCAATATATCCATAGGTTACCATGCCAGCTATAAGGATAGTCACTTGTGAGAGTTTGTATCCCAAAGCGACACGTCAAGAGGCGGCTCGGCAGCCGGGAACCCTGCCATGGTAGAATAGAAAATGTGTCACCTTGAGATACTGGATGTCCTTGGAACAGGTGAGCTCAGGCAGACCGGCTGCTTTCATCAGTGCAAACAAATTAAGGAAGAGAGTGCCGTGGCATCGCAGAATTGTGTAGGCTTTTTCACAGTATTCTCGGAACCTGTATGAGCAGAAAACAGACGTCAATGACCAGATTTAAACCTTTCTAACAATGGCACCGCAGGTCCGGCACTAAACATAGACACGGAGGAGGAGGTATACCTCAGACTGGAAATATACAGATCCTGTCACATCAATACTTTTACATAAAAAGAAGCTAAAGTTAGGATGTTTTAGAGATATGAAGACAGAAGATCGGGGGAGATAACAGGCTTCCCTCTCACCTCTCAAACTTCTCGCTGTTGCTGGTTTTCCCTTGCTGAATGACGTGCACAAAATCGTACGTAAGGATGAAGGGGACCCGCTCTCGGTTTAAAGCCAAACTTGGTCTTAAAATTACCCAGAAAGTGGCCAAAATCTATGTGAAAGAGCTGAAAAAACAATAGAAATATATATTACGGAAGTGAAACCGTTATTTACCAAAAAGTGTTTTGTTTGCGGGGTGTAAAGTGACCACACGTCCCGGCAGCTCATTGATCCCTCTGTGGCTGCTCGGCTTCCAGGCTGTAAAGAGGACTAAGCTCCTGGCCAAGCCCCACCCCCATCATTCACAATAGTTCTGCCATTTAACAGTGAATGACATGGTGTGGGGCTTAGTGATGAAAGGGGATAAGGCCTAAAGTGTTTCTACACCCAAAAGAAAAAATGTAATATATATTGCAACTTAGAAGTCTTTAGACAAGGTGGCTGCAATTGGTAATTTTTTACCTTTACCCTCACCTGGTAATCCTATAAATAACACCCCTCCTCTCTCTGGGTGGCTACATTCACTCATCCACTGTATCTATGGAGGGAGCCATGGTTGTCACCCTGGCTGGACTTCAAACATGTCTGCCTTTGTACATCTCCATTACATACGGATGAGGAAATTAGTAGTTTACAGGAAGAAGAGAACATTGTTTTTGCTTTCTGATCATCTCACAGGAAGCGACAAGGAAACCGCATGACTGGCAGGATCAATGCTACTTGTAAATGCCCTGCTAAAAATGTTAAAAAATAAATAAATAAATAATTTTTATGGCCACTAAATCTAAGTACTGGTAGGCTGCAATATATTACACCTTTTTTTCTTGGCTTTAGTTATTATTTAATACTGATCTGAGTAGTAAAATCCCTTGCAGAGCCTGAACCAAGGATCCGAGAGATAAAAGACCACCACAAGGTGCCTTCACTTCAATCTACAGTATTTTCTGGCGTATAAGACTACTTTTTATACTTAAAAATATACGCCAAAAATTGGGGGTCGTCTTATACGCGGGGTATAAAATGTGAACCTTGAGTTTGTTTGGGTCAAGCTGGCTGGACCTGCAGTAATGTACATACAGTATACTGTGCTGAGCCAAGCTGGCTCAAAACAAATGTCCCTATGAGAGATTAATCTGTCAGCCCGCTGGATGTGCGGTATATACAGTATACTGAGCCAAGCGGTTTCAAAACGTACCGGTACTCCCTACGGTAATCAGCCCGCTGGATGCGTGTATGTACGGTAGCTGCGCCTACATACAGTATACACTGGGCCAATCACGGCGAGTGATGTATTCTACTAATGAATACAAAGCCTGCTCGGATTGGCTGAGTCAGAGAGGTGGGCTGATGATGTCACAACCTCAGCCAATCTGAGCAGGCTTTGTATTCATTAGTAGAATACATTGCTCGCCGTGATTGGCCCAGCGTATACTGTATGTAGCCTCAGCTACCGTACATACACGCATCCAGCGGGCTGATTACAGTAGGGACGTACCGGTACGTTTTGAAACCGCTTGGCTCAGTATACTGTATATACCGCACATCCAGCGGGCTGACAGATTAATCTGTCATAGGGACATTTGTTTTGAGCCAGCTTGGCTCAGCACGGTATATTGTATGTACATTACTGCACATCCAGCGGGCTGTATATATACTGTATACTGTATGTAGCCGAAGCTACCGTATTACCGCACATCCAGAGGGCTGTATATATACTGTATACTGTATGTACATTACCGCACATCCAGAGGGCTGTATATATACTGTATACTGTATGTACCCGAAGCTACCGAATTACCGCACATCCAGCGGGCTGTATATATACTGTATACTGTATGTAGCTGAAGCTGCCGTATTACCTCACATCCAGCGGGCTGTATATATACTGTATGTACTGTATGTAGCTGATGTAGCCGAAGCTACCGTATTACCGCACATCCAGCGGTAACCATCTGACTTGGAATTTGATCCATATGATGATGTCTTACAAATGTATCACAAGATGTCATTCATGAACTTATGATGTCAGAGGATGAACATGAGGATTTTGAAGTATTTTAAGTACCAGTCAGTCATAACCATTTCAATTAAAAAATCTGATGTATTTAAATGGTGTTGCCTCGGAAGCGGGGTAGTCTTATACAGCGAGTATAGCCCAAAACCTATGTTTTAACTGGAAAATTAGGGGGTCGTCCTATACACCCAGTCACCTTATACGCCGGAAAATACGGTAGTTACCTTAAAAACAAAATCATGGCCTAAAATATTTGTAAGCCATAAAATAATTTATGATCTATGGATCCAACTAGTGCACAACAGAAAGTGATCACTATAAAAAAAACATTGTATATCTCCAGGTAAAAAATGTTTTTTTTAAACCTTTCTGAATACAAACTGCACTCTTAAAGATTCATGAATCTAGTAAAACACAATTATTAAGCCGCCACTTTCCACTTTGAACAATTATAATAAACAAAATCATATTCTGTAATAACAATATATATGCAGCGCTCTGTGAATAAAGTGATAATCATATACAAAAAGTCCATAAAGAAGGACTTTTATTTATGGACTTTTTGTATACGATTAGCACTTTATTCACAGAGCGCTGCATATATTTTGTTATTACAGAATATGGTTTATTAGAAAGGGATCACTGCCGGTGTGTTTGACAAGAACTCTTCAGTGTTCTAGAGATTTCTAAAATGACATTGCTGGATGAAGCAGTACACACACCAACAAATGACTCCATAATGAACAAGGCTGGAAAAAAACAAAAACAAAACCCGTACCTGTCCGCTTTCCCGTATCATGATATTGTCGCTGTGGCGGTCCCCAATGCCCAGGACGTAGGTTGCTACACAGTAGCCAGCACATGACAGTGTGAACTCCTCTATGGCTTGTTCCAGAGCATCCCTAACAGACAAAAGGCAAAACTGAATTAAGCAGAGGAAGTGATGGGAGATATGATGTGTAATCCCTGCTTTGTTTGAATGAGCATAATCCCCGTCAGATACATTTTATGCATTGTAAACAATATGGAATACTTTAATACAGATCCTGACCTGCGTCTGTTAAGCAGATATTGCAAAAGACCTTCTCTGAGGACATGCTAAAATGTTTCCAATAAATGCCAACCTGAAGGTTCTACATATTCTCTAATCACATGATCAGTCCCCGGTGTGTAGTGAATGCTGCACCCGTAAGACTCTCCTGACGCGATCCCCTGCAGCCCTTTCTTTGTCTTAACTATCCTTCTTTCTCCCTTCTTTTCTTTTTTTTCTCCTCTTTCTCTCCTTTGTTTTTGTTAGTCTTCATGTTATTTCTGCTGATTGTAATACTCCTAGAGCAGCGGTTCTCAACCTGGGGGTCGCGACCCCTTTGGGGGTCGAACGACCATTTCCCAGGGGTCGCCTAAGACCATCGGAAAACACATATTTCCGATGGTCTTAGGAACCGAGACACCGCTGCTGTCTCCGGCGATGTGTGGGCGGGATGATATGCTGCCCCTGTCACCGCCTCCTCGCCGCTGATTGGCCACCGGAACTGTAGCTCAGGAGAGGCACACAGGCGGCCAATCACCGGCGAGAAGGTGGAGCTTGGAGAGGAGGAGCCGAGCGGCAGCGCGCGGAGATCGAAGAAGATCGAGGGAGCTGCAGGAACGAGTGGAGAGAGAGGCCAGAGAAGGAAGACAGCTGACAGGTAAGTGCAAATTTTGCTTCTGCAGGCTCTAGATGGGAGAGGGAGAGAGCGAGCCCAGGCTGGAGCAGGGGTCAGCAAGGTAAGTATCATTGGTGTCAGTGGGAGGAATAGTGCCCCATCATTTGTGTCACTAATACCAACGATGGGGCACTATTCCTCCCCCCACTGACACCAACGATGGGGCACTATTCCTCCCCCCACTGACACCAACGATGGGGCACTATTCCTCCCCCCCACTGACACCAACGATGGGGCACTATTCCTCCCCCCCCACTGACACCAACGATGGGGCACTATTCCTCCCCCCCACTGACACCAACGATGGGGCACTATTCCTCCCCCCACTGACACCAACGATGGGGCACTATTCCTCCCCCCCACTGACACCAACGACTATTCCCCCCCACTGACACCAACGATGGGGCACTATTCCTCCCCCCACTGACACCAACGATGGGGCACTATTCCTCCCCCCACTGACACCAACGATGGGGCACTATTCCTCCCCCCACTGACACCAACGATGGGGCACTATTCCTCCCCCCACTGACACCAACGATGGGGCACTATTCCTCCCCCCACTGACACCAACGATGAGACACTATTATTCCTCCCCCCACTGACACCAACGATGAGGCACTATTCCTCCCCCCACTGACACCAACGATGAGGCACTATTCCTCCCCCACTGACACCAACGATGAGGCACTATTCCTCCCCCACTGACACCAACGATGGGGCACTATTCCTCCCCTCACTGACACCAACGATGGGGCACTATTCCTCCCCCCACTGACACCAACGATGAGGCACTATTCCTCCCCTCACTGACACCAACTATTCCTCCCCCCACTGACACCAACGATGAGACACTATTCCTCCCCTCCACTGACACTGACACCACCAACGATGAGGCACTATTCCTCCCCCCACTGACACCAACGATGAGACAGTATTCCTCCCCTCACTGACACCAACGATGAGGCACTATTCCTCCCCCCACTGACACCAACGATGGGGCACTATTCCTCCCCCACTGACACCAACGATGGGGCACTATTCCTCCCCCCACTGACACCAACGATGGGGCACTATTTCTCCATCCCCACTGACACTATTCCTCCCCCCACACTGACACCAACGATGAGACACTATTCACTCCCCCCCCCCACTGACACCAACGATGAGGCACTATTCCCACTCCCCCCTATTCTCCGTGCCCAGCTTTTTCCTACCACCAATTTGTATACGATTTTTGTGATTATTCTTTGGCCCTAGCCCATTGGTCATTACCATTAACCAATTCAACTACCGGGCAATTTTACTACCTTCCTGCCCAGGCCAGTTTTCAGCGCTCTCACACTGTGAATGACAATTGCGCGGTATTCCTTCCATACAACATTGTACCCAAACTAAAATTTTATCATTATTCTTCCCACTGACAACTAGAGCTTTTCCTTTTGGTGGTATTTAATCACCGCTGGGGCACTATTTTTTTGCTAAATTAACAAAAAAAATGACCAAAAATTTCCCACTGGGAAAAAAATGGTTTTTTTGACTTTGTTTCTGTTATAAAAGTTTGCAAATAATTCCTCCCATAATTGTTTCTTCATAAATTTGAGGGGCCGAGATGTATTCTGCTTGTCTTTGGTGAAAATAACCCAAATTAGGATGTATTATTTAGTTTGTAGGAAAGTTATAGAGTTCACAAACTATGGTATAGATCTGAATATTGATTTTCAATCCCTGAAGTACTGACCCAGCCAATCTAATTTTACTTGAGGTCCAAGAATGTCAATTGAAACATTGTACCCAGATATCTCCACAAATGTCAGGACGGTACAGATGGGGTCCCCCAAAAATGTCAGGACAAAAAAGTACAGATATCTCCCAAATGTCAGGACGGTACAGATAAAATCCCCCAAATGTCAGGACAGTACAGATTATCCCCCAAATGTCAGGACAGTACAGATATCCCCTAATTTCAAAATGTCAGGACAGTACAGATATCCCCCAAATGTCAGGACAGTACAGATATCCCCCAAATGTCAGGACAGTACAGATATCCCCCAAATGTCAGGACAGTACAGATATCCCCCAAATGTCAGGACAGTACAGATATTCCCCAAATGACCCCTTTTTGCAGAGTAGACAGTCCGACGTATTTCATAACCAGGCATGGCGAGTTTTTTGAAGTTGTATTTTTTTTGTCATAATTTTTCGGGAAAATTAAAAAATGAAACAAATTAGTTTTTTTTTTTTTTACATATTGTCACCACTGCAGTACAGCGTCATCATATAACTGGCATGGCGGTGATCAGGGACACTGACTGGTGACAGTATGAAAAAATAAAAAAAAATTTTATTATTTTGTATTACATTTTTTTTTCTTTTTAAGATTTTTTTTTCTTATTTCACTATGACCAAAGTAGTACAATGTTACCATAGTAACATTGTACTACTTTGGGGGAGTGATCAGATTTTTTTTACACAATTTGCTTATAGCAAAGAATTACTTTGCTATAAGCAAGCATTTACCTGAATGACATCGATTCATTCAGGGTTTTTTTTTTTTTTTTTGTGCTTAGCTGTGATTTGGCCACAAAAATCATACACGGCAGGCCTTCTTGAATGAACCTAGATATCCTCATATATAGCTGGGACATACAGGAGTGACCCTTGACGCCTAGAATATATATACACTGTATTGCCAAAAGTATTGGCCCCGCCCTCCAAATCATGTGATTCAGGTGTCCCAATCCCCTCCATGACTACAGGTGCATGAATGAAGCCATCCATTGTATACAACTGTCACGTGACCTGCTGTGATTGGTCACAGCAGGTCACGTGTTACCGGCAACGGGGCCGAATACTCAGATCTGTCACCGGCCGTGTCCGAGGTACACAGCCGGTGACAGATCGTGCCGCTCTGCAGGAGCGCAATCTGCGCATGTGCGGGAGGACGCCATATGGCATCCACCCGGAACGCTGATGACATTTGCCGCCCGCCATTCGGCCATAGGGCGGACGGCAAATGGTTTACTCAATTTATCAGGTTTCTTTCCACCCTTTTATGTATTGTGTTTATGTACTCAGTCTCTCTCTTTGTCAATACTTCAGTGCATTTGTCATGTCCTTCATCAGAAGAATTGTATACTTTATTCTTTTGTGTCAGTGATCTTGCTTTTGACTGTTTCTTTGTTATGTTGTCTATAATAAAATCCATTGTACAAGAATACTGCACCCCTTTAGACTGTGCACCCCGGCACTTGCTGCTAGAAATGATACTTCCAGGGCAAAAAAAAAAAGCATTGATTTCCCGCCAGCTCCCCAACAGCAGGAGGGCTCCTGGTAGACCAATCACTCACCCTGGATTCTTGCTCTTTAACCAGTTCAGAAGTGCATCCTTGTTGAAGGCCGCAGTAGCTGCCATGTTGCTCTTGTTGCGCTGGATGTTGGCAATTGTATCAGAACGCATGACAACTTCAATGAGGCCGGTCTTGTCTCCCGTCGACAGGCAGCCGTACGGTGTGACCCTATACAGACAAAAGCAGGCAGTCAATAGAGATGTTGCTGCCTGCCCTCTCTCATGCTGTAAAGTTTCTGCACTGACTACTAGGGGTGTAGCACCAAACCTTGAAGAAAAATTACAGGCAATAAGTAAAACCAAGCAGTAAGCTACTAATGCAATGCAGCAAACAACACAGTTACTGCAGGGTAAAGTCAAAAAGATCATTTCAAGCTGAGGTTTGATTGGAAAAAAAAAAAAAAGTCTCAAGTTCCTCACCTGAGGTCCAGCCCCTCCTTCTTCCACAGAACATCCATAAGCCGGATCATCTGTAGTGTCAGCATATCCTGACGGAGATCTGCGAAGAATGGAGGGCACAGTGTGAAGCCGATGAACCTGGACAATTTTATACACGGCAGGCCTTCTTGAATGAACCTAGATATCCTCATATATAGCTGGGACATACAGGAGTGACCCTTGACGCCTAGAATATATATACACTGTATTGCCAAAAGTATTGGCCCCGCCCTCCAAATCATTGGATTCAGGTGTCCCAATCCCCTCCATGACTACAGGTGTATAAAATCATCACCTAGGCATGCAGACTGCTTCTACAAACATTGGTAAGCTCTAACAAGCAGGGCCCTGTGTTTCCTGTTGTACCAAGTTGTAATGTAATGTTTACATTAATTTTGTAAACTGTTGGCGCTATATAAATCCAGTGGTGGCGTGCTTTACACCACGGCATCCGACGCTTTGCATTGCACTTGGTGATGTAAGGCTTGGATGCAGCTGCTCGGCCATGGAAACCCATTCCATGAAGCTCTCTATATAAATCCTGTATAATAATAAACATTTGTGAAAGAATGGGTCGCTCTCAGGAGCTCAGTGACTCCAAGCGTGGTCCCGTGATAGGTGGCCACCTGGGCAATAAGTCCATCCGTGACATTTCCTGGCTACTAAATATTCCACGCTCAACTGTTAGTGGGATTATAACAAAGTGGAAGCAACTGGGAACAACAGCAACTCAGCCACCAAGTGGTAGGCCACGTCACATGACAGAGCGGGGTCAGCGCATGCTGAAGCACACAGTGCGCAGAAGTCGCCAACTGTCTGCAGAGTTAATAGCTAAAGACCTCTAAACTTGGTGTGGCCTTCAGATTAGTACAAGAACCGTGCGTAGAGAGCTTCATGGAATGGGTTTCCATGGCCGAGCAGCAGCTGCATCCAAGCCTTACATCACCAAGTGCAATGCAAAGCGTCGGATGCCGTGGTGTAAAGCACACCGCCACTGGATCTAGAACAGTGGAGACGTGTTCTCTAGAGTGACGAGTCACGTTTCTTTGTATGACAATCTGATGGACATGTCTGGGTTCGGCGGTTGCCAGGAGAAACGGTACTTCCCTGACTACATTGTGCCAAGTGTAAAGTTTGGTGGATGGGGGATTAGGGTGTGGGGGGGTTTTCAGGGGTTGGGCTTGGCCCCCTAGTTCCAGTGAAGGGAACTCTTAAGGAGTCAGAATACCAAGACATTTTGGACAATTTCATGCTCCCAACTTTGTGGGAAGAGTTTGGGGATGGCCCCTTCCTGTTCCAACATAACTGCACACCAGTGCACAAAGCAAGATCCATAAAGACATGGAGGAGCCAGTTTGGGGTGGAGGAACTTGACTGTCCTGCACAGAGTCCTGACCTCAACCTCATAGAACACCTTTGGGATGAATTAGAGAGGAGATTGCAAGCCAGGCCTCCTCCCCCGACATCAGTGCCTGACCTTACAAATGTGCTTCTGGAAGAATGGTCCAACCTTCCCATAGACACCCTCCTAAACCTTGTGGACGGCCTTCCCAGAAGAGTTGAAGCTGTTATAGCTGCAAAGGGCGGGGCCAACTCAATATTGAACCCTACAGACTAAGACTGGGAGGCCATTAAAGGTCATGTGCGTGTAAAGCGGCCTTCCCTGGATGAACCTAAACACCTTCACATGGTGGGCCTTCTCTGATAAACATCGAAAACCTCATCATATATAGCAAGCCTTCTGGGATGAAACTAAACACCCTCACATATAGTGTGTGCTTCTCAGATTAACCTACACACCCTTATAAGGCAGACCTTTCTGGATGAACTTAGACTCCTCCATATATGATGGGGGGGCTTTCCTGAATTAACTAGGACATCATATACAGCAGGTCCCCAAAGATGAACCTGAATGGTCTAGGGGTGTCATTGGTGTACCCCAAAGTTCAGTGTTGGGACCCTTACTTTTTAATATATTTATAACCAATATAGGGTCTGAGATTAAAAATCCCATTTCAGTCTCTGCAGAGGACACCAAGCTGTCCTTACAGGATGTCTCCAACTTACAAGCCGACCTCAATGCTCTGTGTAATTGGGGGACTATGGGGCCAATGAGGTTTAATGTTGATAAATGTAAGGTTCTGCACTTTGGGGCTAAGAATATGCATGGGGGATATGCATACACACTAGGGGGGGGGGGGGGGGGGGGTCAGTGGTGGGAGTTCTGGTAGATCACAAGCTTAATAATGGCATGCAATGCCAAGCTGCGGTTTCTAAAGCGAGCAAATTCCTCACAGTAAGAGCTGTGAAAATGTGGAATAGACTCCCTCAGGAGTTGGTTCTGGCCAGCTCAGTGGATTGCTTTCAAAAAAAAAAGTCCTGGATTCTTTTTCAGATACACAGAATATAACTGGATATAACATTTATAGGTAACGTTGATCCAGGGAATATCCGATTGCCTCTCGGGGATCAGGAAGGATTTTTTTCCCCTGCAGGAGCAAATTGGATCATGCTTTGCTGTTTTTTTTTTGCTTTCCTCTGGATCAAATGTGGGTGTAGGATTATAGCCTTTTTTTTTTTATGGTTCAACTACAGTTGCAAGAAAAAGTATGTGAACCCCTTGGGATTACGTGGGAGTTTTGCATGAATTGGGCATAAAATGTGCTCTGAACGTCATCTAAGTCACAACAATAGAAGAAACACAGTCTGCTGAACATAATACTACACAAACATTAGATGTTGCCATGGTTTTAATTGCACATAACATGTAAACATTCACAGTGCAGGGAGGAAAAAGTATGTGAGGCCCTAGCTTAATGACTTCTCCCAGAGCTAATTGGAGCCAGGAGTGAGCCAACCTTGACTCCAATCAGTGTGATGATATTGGATGTGTTGCTGACACCTGTCCTGCCCTTAAAAAGCACACACCTGTTTTGGGTTTACTGGTTTCAAGAAGCACTGTCTGATGTGAACCATGCTTCGCAGAAAAGAGCTCTCAGAAGACCTACGATCAAGAATTGTTGACTTGCATGAAGCTGGAAAGGGTTACAAAAGTATCTCCAAAAGCCTTGATGTTCATGTGTCCACGGTAAGACAGACTGTCTACAAATGGAGAAAGTTTATCACTGTTGCTACTCTCCCTAGGCGTGGTCGTCCTGTAAAAATGACTGCAAGAGCACAGCGCAGAATGCTGCATGAGGTAAAGAAGAATCCCAGAGTGTCAGCTAAAGACCTACAGAAATCTCTGGCACATGCTAACATTTTTGTTGACACATCTACAATAAGGAAAACATTAAACAAGAATGGAGTACATGGGAGGACACCACGGAGGAAGCCATCGCTGTCCAAAAAGAAGATTGCAGCACGTTTGAAGTTTGCAAAAGAGCACCTGGATGTTCCACAGCATTACTGGAAAAATATACTGTGGACAGATGAAACCAAGATTGAGTTGTTTGGGAAGAACACACAACACTATGTGTGGAGAAAAAAAGGCCCAGCACACCAACATCAAAACCTCATCCCCACTGTGAAACATGGCGGAGGGAGCATCATGGTTGAGGCTGCTTTGCTGCCTCAGGGCCTGGACGGATTGTTGTCATTGATGGGAAAATGAATTCCAGAGTTTATCAAGACATTTTGCAGGAAAACGTACGACCATCTGTCCGCCAACTGAAGCTCTGCAGAGGATGGGTGATGCAACAGGACAATGACCCAAAGCATACAAGTAATTCAACAAAACAATGGCTGCAACAGCACAGAATACGCCTTCTGGAGTGGCCCAGTCAGAGTCCTGACCTCAACCCAATTGAAATGCTGTGGCATGACCTTAAGAGAGCGATTCGCACCAGACATCCCAAGAATATTGCTACACTGAAACAGTTTTGTGAAGAGGAGTGGTCCAAAATGACTCCAGATCGTTGTGCAGGTCTGATCTGCAACTACAGGAAACGTTTGGTTGAGGTTATTGCTGCCAAAGGAGGGTCAACCAGTTATTAAGTCCAAAGGTTCACATACTTTTTCCTCCCTGCACTGTGAATGTTTCCATGTTATGCGCAATTAAACCATGGCAACATCTAATGTTTGTGTAGTATTATGTTCAGCAGACTGTGTTCTTCTATTGTTGTGACTTAGATGACGTTCAGAGCACATTTTATGCCCAATTCATGCAAAACTCCACGTAATCCCAAGGGGTTCACATACTTTTTCTTGCAACTGTAGATGGACTTTTGTCTTTTTTCAGCCAGACTAATTATGTAACTATGAACCTCTGAGGTTCTCATACGTGGCAGGTCTCCTAGGATGAACCTAGACACCCTCATATATTGCAGAGGCCATCTTGGATAAATCTAGACACCCTCATATATTGCAGAGGCCATCTTGGATAAATCTAGACACCCTCATATATTGCAGAGGCCATCTTGGATTAATCTAGACACCCTCTATATATTGTGGGCCTTACCAGATGAACTCTAACACCCTTATATAAGGCAGGGGGCCTTTCCAGATGAACCTAGACACCCTCATATAAAACATGCCTTTATGGATAAGCACTGGCATCTTCATACATGGCAAGCCTTCCAGGATGAACCTAGACACCTCCTCATATATCGAAGGCCTTCCTGGAAGACTTCATACAGTCAAAAGATGCATGTAGACAATCTCACATACAGCGGCCATTCCCAGAATCAATCTTACCGTCTCCATTCTTGAAGATGATGCCAACACGATTTCCGCCTGTTAGTTCGTTATTGTATACAATCCACAGTGGCTTCATCTTGGATTCCATGAAAGTGCAAAGCTCCACACTGTGGAAGAGAACACTACTACTCAGATTAGAGAGCCAAAAAAGGACCCTAATCAGTGTCTTAGTTAACCATTTCATGAACAAGTTGCTGAAGAGAACCTGTAACCCAATTTGAAACCTTTAAAAAGGGTAAGATGCCAAAGGATGTCTGTTTTTTTCCTCTTTAATAATCAGAAAAGCCTCTTGTGTGTGCCTCTCCGATTCAGTTTCTCTTTATTAGCAGCACCTTTAGATCTATGAATACAATTAGCACAATTTAGGGCTCACAGCCTCAAGTCTCAACATGACTGTTTTCAGATCATAAATCTGCAGCCTTAGAATCAACCTAGATAAGACTTGTTGAAATTCCTCTGCCTGCATTAAATATCATATATCTATAGAGCCATCCCGACAAGGCATACTGATTGATGGTCTAAGACAGGGGTGTCCAAACTTTTTTCAAAGAGGGCCAGATTGGATGAAGTGAACATGGTGGAGGGCCGAACATTTTTCCGAACATTCTTTGAACCATTACAATTAAATGCAAATAAATTATTTTATGCCAAGTTAATTGCAAACGACATACTTTTCATTTCATAACATTAAGATCAACTGACAGCTGAGTTTTCACAATGTATTGAAAATAAATTTAAAAAAAAACTTACCTGCACTAATGTGAAGGGTGAAAAAGGTAGCTGGAGCTGAAGTCTCTGCTCGGCAGCCGGGAGGGGAAGAGAAACACACTTCACGCTGGAAGCCCGGCCCTGACGTCACCGCCCTCTGTCGCTCCCAGCGCGGCGCAGTCACGCATGCGCACTGCTCTCAAGCAGAAGACTGTCTGCCACAGAAGGGAGGGCCGTGCGACAGCCGCATTTACACAGACCAGGGAGAATGCGCCGCAGTCAGGCATGCGCACTGCCCTCTGCTCTCAAGCAGAAGACTGTCTGCCATAGAAGGGAGGGCCGTGGGAGGGCCACATTACACAGAGCAGGGAGGGCTGTTGGAGGGCCTTATTAAACCGACCCCCGGGCCGTAAATGGCCCGCGAGGCCGACTTTGGACATGCCTGGTCTAAGAGCTCAAATCTCAGTAGTAGCAAAAGTGACGTGTCCTTGATTCCCAGCGGCTACTTTCTCAGGAAACAGAGGCTTTCGTACAGACATTCTCCATGAATGCTGGGATCAAGCTTCCTGTTCCCCAAGGGTATACAAATGTCAAACAGTGTTTGGCTATTTTGATGCTCTTGTTCGGTATTGAGATGCCCATGGCACCCCCGTACTTACCAAACATCTGTCAGGATGAGGTTGGGGTCCAGAGGAGAGTAGAGGTGGGACAGCGGCTCCAGGTAGGTCTCCTGTTTCAAACACATGTGCATTGCTTCTTTGGCCTGGGCCTTATTTGTTTTTTGGACACTGGACCTCACAAAATCATTGAGACCCTTTAGTTTGGACAGAGCTTCTCCCTACACCAAACAAAATAAAAGAAACAAAAGGTGTCACATAACTGACCTTAAAAAACAAAAGGAAAGATTTTCAGACACAAAACAGACACACAGGGGAGGACCAATTCTCAAACTTAAAGAAGAAAAAAAGCAATCCACCTGCTTCATGAGAACCTTCATATGGTAGAGACTGCCCCGACAATATGCTTCAAGGATAAGACCGAACCTCAGGGCAACCGCGGGGACATGCATCTCTGATCTGGAGGGGACAGAAAGCAAACAAAAGCTGGAGATCAAAACACACTGAATAGGTACAAGAGGCCTACAAACTACAAAACTAGAATAAGTACAACAAATACTACAGTAAGAAAAGAATAGCTATTAACATTTGCCCTGCATGAGTAAAGCACATGTCTCCCGGCCTGATCATCTCCTGAAATGTCCACATAGTTCTTTATGAATTATATTAAAACCTTTTCCTACATTGTACATAAACCAGCTTGTAAGTTTAGAGGTTCTTTAAGGCTGGACCACAGAAACCAGCCAGCACATGCTGGCCGACTAGTCAGTGCTTCTTCTACAGTCACAGGTCTGGACCCCAAGAAATATTTTGGTGCAGACCACTAGCTATTACCGGAGGTGCCAGAACAAGAAGTGGCCGATCTTGCGGTGGATCAGTGCTCTCTCCAGCAGGAAGATAGTCAGCTCACAGTCTAGATAGGATTCATACTTGAGAACCTGAACCAGCTGCAGCAGATATTGGCACAGTTCTTCGTTCCTGAGAAGAGAATGGGGGACATGGATCATCAGTTGTATCCTGAATAAGGAAAAACACATACTGTACCTCCTTTTGACTTCCCCAGATTGGCCCACTGCTGAACACATATCCTCTTTCCAGAGTGGCCCACTGCCAGAGTGGCCCACTGCCATACACACATCCACCCTCCAGAGTGGCCCACTGCCATACACACATCCACCCTCCAGAGTGGCCCACTGCCAGACATGCCTTCCTTCTCCAGTGTAGCCACTGCTAGACACGCCTCCTCCCCCAAAAGTAGCCCACTGCCAAACATGCCTCCTCCCTCCAAAAGTGGCCCACTGCCAGACACGCCTCCTCCCTCCAGAGTGGCCCACTGCCAGACATGCCTCCTCCCTCCAGAGTGGCCCACTGCCAGACATGCCTCCTCCCTCCAGAGTGGCCCACTGCCAGACATGCCTCCTCCCTCCAGAGTGGCCCACTGCCAGACACGCCTCCTTCCCCCAGAGTGGTCCACTGCCAGACACGCCTCCTCCCTCCAGAGTGGCCCACTGCCAGACACGCCTCCTCCCCCCAGAGTGGTCCACTGCCAGACACGCCTCCTCCCTCCAGAGTGGCCCACTGCCAGACACGCCTCCTCCCCCCAGAGTGGTCTACTGCCACACACGCTACCTCCCTCCAGAATGGCTCACTGCCAGGCAAGCCTCCTCCTTCCACAATGACTCACTGTCAGACACACCTGCCATCTCTGGAGTAGCACACCATCAGCCACACCTTCTTTCTACAGAGTAGCACGCATCCAGACACGCCTCCTCCCTCCAGAGGAGCACACATCCGGACACGCCTCCTCCCTCCAGAGTAGCACACATCCGGACATGCCTCCTCCCTCCAGAGTAGCACACATCCGGACACGCCTCCTCCCTCCAGAGTAGCACACATCCGGACACGCCTCCTCCCTCCAGAGTAGCACACATCCAGACACGCCTCCTCCCTCCAAAGTAGCACACATCCGGACACGCCTCCTCCCTCCAGAGTAGCACACATCCGGACACGCCTCCTCCCTCCAGAGTAGCACACATCCAGACACGCCTCCTCCCTCCAGAGTAGCACACATCCAGACACGCCTCCTACCTCCAGAGTAGCACACATCCAGACACGCCTCCTCCCTCCAGAGTAGCACACATCCAGACACGCCTCCTCCCTCCCCTCCGAGTAGCACACATCCAGACACGCCTCCTCCCTCCGGAGTAGCACACATCCAGACACGCCTCCTCCCGCCTCCTCCCTCCGGAGTAGCACACATCCAGACAAGCCTCCTCCCTCCGGAGTAGCACACATCCAGACATGCCTCCTCCCTCCAGCGTAGCACACATCCAGACACTCCTCCTCCCTCCGGAGTAGCACACATCCAGAAACGCCTCTTCTCTCTGGAGCAGCCCTCTACCAGACACACACCTCTCCAGAATGGCTCACTGTCATCCTCCCTCCAGGGTAGTCCACCGCTAGACGCTCCTCCCCTTTCCAGAGCAGACCACTACCAGACACGTGTACCCTTTCCAGAGTTGCCCATTACCAGATATATGTACCCTCTTCGGAGTAGCCCACTGCTGCACAAACTTCCAACTACCACAATCAGTAGCTGCTTACTATACCCCTGTTGCAAGGCTAACAGATGTGCTCCCAAAGTCATTCTGCCACTAGCATTACTGATAGCAAGTCCACCAGCCACCAAGAGCACACCTTGCCAAGGCATTCCATCGGCCATGCAACAACCAATACCTACCTGGATCACATGCTCGGACAATCCAAAACCAACTACATCAACAGCCTTCTTCCCCACTTTACCAGACCAGCAGTACTTACGTGAGTTTCCTCAGGCAGTTCATAGTGAACATTCCCACACATCGATCGGGATAGTTGAAGTCTAACAACTCCAAGGCAGTGAGGACAGGCAGCTCAGGCCAATTCTGCAGTAAATACACCATCTATAGAAAACACAAAATATTAAACAAATGGCTACTATTTATCCCAGGTATAGTTAGATTGACGTTTAGTCCACCTCGAGCGTCATTCGGTACCTGCGCTACGTCCTCGTGCTTGTTCCACTTGGTGGTGAGCAGTAGTTTTGGCAGAGCCTCGGGGTGGCGATCTCTAATGTCATGACGCAGCTTCCAGACCAGTTCTTTCTCGTGTTCGTACAGCTCAGCTTGGCCTTTCCGTTCCACGATCTCCTGGAGCTGTTGACGCTGTAGAGGGGTGAAAAAAAGGCAAACACCTGCCATGTTCATCCCTTAACGGTGACCCAGATCTCAGAGCTCAGCATACAGCTGCACACAGGAGAGAGTCACATGGAAAACACCATACGCTCCCCGACACATGGCCAGGAATCATCACTAATATTGATGTTCTACTCCACAAAGGAGCTGCCATTAAAGACAGACATTCTCACAGGTCTGACATGTGAAGACAACAAACAGTCTTCAATAAATCCTAAAGTCTGTTTCCAAATAGCCAATACTAATTGAATGCTCCCTTTGTCCATACAGTGCTTGGTCCTATCATTGCTATATAACCAGAGGCCAGCTCATTTCCCCTTCCCATACATCCTAACATGTGCAGAGTTTATCTGATCCTTCTGAAATGTCTGCTCCTGTCAACATCACTGCAGGAAACAGGACACTACCAGAGATATTAATAAAGCAATGCAGGTGTAAAGCAAAATGTCAGACGTGTGACTTTAAAAGTGAACTGAAAAAAATCCACCCAGAAGGGGACTGGGGAGTTGAATGCTATTGATGGTCAACTTTTTAAGTGAAACCCCGTGCAAAAAAAAAAAAAAATCAATCTCAGGATCTCAGTTATGTGACAGGAGTCACTTTGGGTGGGGGGCCTATGGAACACAGCTCATTTTGGAGAGGTGGGAAGACCCCTGTCTCAGCTCCCCATGTCCCTATTGTGTGTTGGTCACCCTGTGCCTGTTAGGGGTACAGGGTGATCTGTCCTAGTGTTGGGTTGGGAGGTTGTTAATTGTTTAATGCCATGTGGTTGCATCCGCAATAAGACCTCCGTTTCCATCGCTGCGGGTGGTATCTGTCTCTCCTCTCCTGTTACCCGAACCTTGGATCCCGGTGGAGGTTTGGATGTGTTCACAGCTAGGAAGCACAATCCCACCGCTTGCCACCAATGTAACAGAACCGACCCAGTCTGCGCTTGGGTACTTCCGTTATAATACCGCTTCCCTGTCCGAACACTGACCACAGACACCACAGCTGACCATACAAGACTAGATGACACCAGTCAGTTTAAGTGAAACCCCGTGCAAAAAAAAAAAAAAAAATCTCAGGATCTCAGTTATGTGACGGGAGTCACTTTGGGTGGGGGGGCCCATGGAACACAGCTCACTTTGGAGAGGTGGGAAGACCCCTGTCTCAGCTCCCCATGTCCCTATTGTGTGTTGGTCACCCTGTGCCTGTTAGGGGTACAGGGTGATCTGTCCTAGTGTTGGGTTGGGGGGTTGTTGATTGTTTAATGTGGTTGCATCCCATTGTTATATTGTGTGTCTTGCTTGGGAGCAAACTATTATGGGATGTATGTGTTTATGTGTATTAGCTTAGTAGGGGGGGGTGTCTCCAGCAGCCCTCCCTCCTGATGGGACTGTCTGCTGGTGTGAACTTTGAATGACTGTGTGTCTCTTGTTGCCAAGTATAGATTGCCCCGCCCTGTGTCATTATGCAGGAGGGGGGACTGTCCCCTGAGTGTATGAAAAGCCAGGTCGAGTTTCAAATAAAGACTTCCATGTTCAGACAGACTGGTGTCGTCTAGTCTTGTATGGTCGGCTGTGGTGTCTGTGGTCGGTGTTCGGACAGGGAAGCGGTATTATAAAGGAAGTACCCAAGCGCAGACTGGGTCGGTTCCGTTACATTGGTGGCAAGCGGTGGGATTGTGCTTCTTGGCTGTGAACACATCCAAACCTCCACCGGGATCCAAAGTTCGGGTAACAGGAGAGGAGAGACAGATACCACCCGCAGCTATGGAAACGGAGGTCTTATGGCGGATGCAACCACACGGCATTAAACAATCAACAACCCCCCAACCCAACACAGATCACCCTGTACCCCTAACAGGCACAGGGTGACCCCAATTCTCCAAAGTGAAATGTTCAATGGCCCCCCCACCCAAAGTGACTCCCGTCACAATTTATGTACCCATGTTTGTGTCCAAATCTACATGCATAACTGTAGGCATCCTCCATGAGCAGAGTTCAACAACATACTCCCTTTGAAATACTTTGGAGGACAACATGATACAATGGCTGCTGGAGGACCACTTTGTGGATCACATCTTCTCCCCTAGCCTCTTGAATGAACAAGGGAGGAGTTGCAGCATTGTGCTCTCTCCTCCTGTGAGCAAGCCACAAACTAGACTGAAAGCAATGTGCAGTGCAGTAAATCTGGACTACCTGGTAGTGCTGGCTCTCTCACCCTCTCCTTTACAGTTCCTGTTTGCAGGAAGCCAATATAAAAGACAGGTATTTAAAGCAGCTTGTATAAATACCCACCTGTCTTTATAAAGTTCTTCAGGTTAGGGTGGCTTTGGTCAGGTTGGATGGGCATAGAGTATTCCGCATGCTATTTATTTCAGGTACTTATATAGCGCCGTCAATTTACGCAGCGCTTTACATATATATTGTACATTCACATCAGTCCCTAACCCTCAAGGGGTGTACAATCTAAGGTCTCTAACTCACATTCATACATACACATACTAGGGCCAAATTTAGACAGGATCCAATTCACCGACCAGCATGTCTTTGGAGTGTGGGAGGAAACCAGAGTACCCGGAGGAAACCCACGCAGGCACAGGGAGAACATGCAAACTCCAGGCAGGTGGTGCCGTGGCTGGGATTCGAACCAACGACCCCAGTACTGCCAGGCAGAAGTGCTAACCATTTAGCCACTGTGCTGCCCAATATTTAATGCCCAGAGCTCCCAAACGTATGATCTGAAACCTATTGAAGACCCTGCTCTACCGGCCTGTGTTCAGCACCTGTGTACGACTAGGGGGCTGCCAACAAGTCGTCCTAAATCAACTCCATCCATTATATGGGGCAGGGTGAGACAGACATCAGGAACATAGAACAAGGTTTAAGAAAACTGGCGTTAGCTGTTACCTCGTCCTGAGTGGCGTTTGATACTTCTCCAAGACGGCCCAGCTCAAGAATCTGAAGAGAAGAGACATGGATGTTTTGAGGAAATGCTAGAAGCTGAAATGTTCACATTTACCTTTTGGTTTTAAAATATAGAACATAATAGTTGTAGGGAGGCTTAGCATGTGGGTGATGGGAAGGCTTAGCGTGAGGTGTAATGGGAAAGCTAAGAGGATGAGAGGAACTCTGATCCCAATGTTTGCTCCTCAAGTGGAATCAGGTATCTCAACCAAAATTTGTGATAGTGGCTCTTTGAAGCCCTTCTCATAACTCCCCAACTCATACTTGTGTCGGTATCTTCAATGGTACCATGCATTTCAGACTCAATTTCATAATTAACGTCCGGTCTCTTGGGTTTGTTTTGGAATCCCTGTTGAGAAATGCCTCCCTAGTGAAACCGCTCTTTACCATCTATAGAACCCAGGGGTGGACTGACAACTCATGGGGCCCCCGGGCAATAGGGCATCATGGGGCCCCTGTGTCCTTGCCCAAACTCAAAAAAGCCTATGAAAAAGGTACCAGGGGCATCTCATGGGGCCCCCTACTGACCCTGGCCCTCGGGCAGTGCCCGAGTTTCCAAATGGTCAGTCCGCCCCTGAAAGGACTCTGTTGGAGTCTATTCATGATGGTCTGGGCAGGATGCTGACTTGCTGGTGCGAGGAGGTTCCGGTGCCTGATAATTAAGCCTGGGAGGGTGTCTAGGACTATCCCATGCTCCAACTAAAAGACCGTTTGCTTCTATTAAAAATACTCCACAAAATGTATTTCACTCCTCAAAGATTACACAGGATTTCTCCGGAGCTCCGTTCTAAATGCTGGCGCTGTCTGGTGGATCCGACCACCTTGCTACATATCTTTTGGAGCTGTCCCATCATACGGTCATTTTAGGGGGAAGGGTCACGACTTATCTGTTCAATAACTACTATTTCAGTACCTAACTCTTGATGACTGTGTTCTTAGCCAAGTCCATCTTTTGGCCACTACTAGAGCTATGAGAACGTTATTAGGGTCATTATTGTTTTACGCCCGCAAGACTATAAATCTAAAATGGAAGTCTTCCTCAGCCTCCACTCTACTTCTGGAAATACTTAGTCAATGCAGCTGTCCTCTGTATAAATTCACGTATGAATCTAGAGGTTGTCCAAAAAAAAAAGTTTTCAAAAAAGGTATGGGACATCTTGTTAGAGTCATCATCTACTACTGCCTCTGCGGAGTCGACGCATTAGTATCATTTCAATGTAGTCAAGTTCCCCTTTTTATAGTAATTTTTATTACTATTTTGGGCCAGATCTCCTTTTATAATACAAAAAAAAAACATTAATTTATAATAAAAAAAAAAAGGGGAGATATCCGTTACCACTTGCCAACAAAAATCCCAATTTGTCCTGAAAAAAAACTAGGTATAATCCACCTGGATACTCAAATGTCAGCCACCAAACCTTAATGATTTGGAGAGGATCTGCCAAGAGGAGTTGGTCAAAATCCCTCCTGAGATGTGTGCAAACCTGGGGGCCAACTACAGGAAACATCTGACCTCTGTGATTGCCAACAAGGGATTTGCCAACAAGTACTAAGTCATGTTTTGTGAAGGGGATTAAATCCTTATTTCCCTCATGAACATTCAAATCAGTGCATCATTTGTTAGACATGCATTTCTGCTGAATTTTTTGTTGCTATTCTGTCTCCCAGTGTTACAATACACCGAACATTCGATGTTTAGACCGATCATTTCTTTGTGAGTGGGCAAACATTCAACATCAGCCGGGGATCAAATACTTATTTCTTCAGTGTATGTATTGCAATGCTTCTTGCCAGCAGCCCCTTCAAAGTGAAATATTACTAACACATGACTGTGATGCCATCAGCATTACAGAACAACCAGACATCAGGGCAGTTATCAAATATTCTCATGGTTCTAGCCCATTGTAGTTTTCTCAGGACAACTAGAACACACTTGAATCTGATGACCGATATGAGACGCAAATCTCTAAATGTTACCACACCATCCCAGCACTGACCCCTTTATCATCCCCAGTGTCATACCTTATCAATGGAGGGGTAGTAGACGGAATAGTCAGACATATTGAAGAAACTGATCACCAACGTGGCTGCGCTCTCAGTATTGGGATTACACTGTATGGTTCCCATCGGATTCAGCAATTCTGCCTTCTCATCTAGACATTAACAAGAGAGATCATTTTGTAAACGACATGGGACAATGAGATATTTAGTCAAATCTGATTGGCAGGCAAACAGCTGAAACGCATACACTTTATTAGGTACAGGGGCGGACTGACCATTTAGAAACTCGGGCACTGCCTGAGGGCCCGGGGTCAGTAGGGGGCCCCATGAGATGCCCCTGGTACCTTTTTCATAAGCTTTTTTGAGTTTGGGCAAGGACACAGGGGCCCATGATCCCCTATTGCTCGGGGGCCCCATGAGTTGTCAGTCCTCCCCTGATTAAGTACAATATGCTAGTGCCAAGAATCTCCCCAACACCATTGCACCACCACCAGCCTGACCCGTTAATACAAGGCAGGATGGATCCATGCTTTCATGTTGTTTACACCAAATTCTGACCCTACCATCTGAATGTCGCAGCAACCAGTCTGCCCATTCTCCTCTGACCTCAAAAAGGCATTTTCATCCACACAACTGCCACTCACTGGATATTTTCTCTTTTTCGGACCATTCTCTTTAAACCCTAGAGATGGTTGTGAGTGAAAATCCCAATAGATCAGCAGTTAGTGCCAGACGGGCTGGTCTGAGTATTTCACAAACAACCATGCCACGTTCAAAGTCACTTAAATCCCCTTTCTTCCCCATTCTGATGCTCATCTTGAACTTCAGCAAGTTGTCTTTGCCACATCTAGATGCCTAAATGCATTTAGTTGCTGCCATGTGATTGGCTGACTAGCAATTTGTGTTACCAAGCAATTGAAAAGTGGTCTGTGAGTGTGCATGTTAACTATTTTAGTTTCTGTTGGATTTGTAATCCAGATCATTTATTGTTGTGATTTGTGGCTGAAGTAGTAAGCCCCCAGCACACTGGCAAGCTTGTTTTTAAGTGTAAAGCTCTTTATTCTTGTATGATCACATAGAAAGTTTTGGGACCGAGTGTGATCACATACCAGCAGAAGGGTACCTGCATGGTCCCAAAACATTGCTTTTCTATGTGATCATACAAGAGTAATGAGTTTTGCTCTTTAACCTCTTGCCGTCCGCCTGCTGTTTATAAACGGCAGGGCAGTGGCAGTCCAGGGGCGGTTGCCGTTCATAAACGGCACCCGCCTTTTCTAGCTGTGCGCGCTCCTTGGGAGCACGCAGCACCGCGATCCGGTGCCCGCTATGTCCTCCGGACACAGTGAAACACAGATCGTCGGACAGGACCTCTGTACGAGGTCCCGATCATGTGATCACTGATAGGCCAATCAGTGATCACATGCAAAGTAGTAAGCAAGATGTCACTTGTGACATCATTGCTTACTACGTGTGAAATCTGTGAATGATCACAGAGGTCACATGGTACAAGGCTATTCACCACAGCCTTGTATCATGTGACAAGGCGTAACCAATCACAGCTCACTCAGTATTTCTCAATGGCTGCAAGAATGCAGACAGAGAGAAAGAGAAATGATTGCTTTTACATCCTATATGGGTGTAAAAGCAATCACTGTAAAAAAAAAAAAATCTTCATCAGCCCCACAAGTAGTACAGTGTCACCATGGTGACACTGTACTGCTAGGGTGACAGTATGTAAAAAAAACCCAAAAAAACAAATAATAATATAAAAAAAATAAAATACAAATGTAAAAAAAATGTTTTAAAAATTATAATTTTTGGTTATAAACTAATTTGGCTTATTTTGTTTTTACTAAAAAATATAACGGAATAAATTTTGGTCAAGATTTATGATGAAAGATTATTTATTTGCAAAATTGTATAAGAAAAACAGTTTTTTAAAAAAAATTTTTGAACATTTTCATTTAGATAGCAAAAAAAATTAAAATCCCAGCGGTGAATAAATACCACCAAAATAAAGCTTTATCTGTCTCAAAAAAATGGTAAAAAATTCATATGGGTACAGTGTTGCATGACCGCGCAATTGTCATTCAAAGTGTGATAGCGCTGAAAGCTGAAAATTGCCCTGGACAGGAAGGGGGTAAAAGTGTCCGGACTGGAAGTGGTTAAAACAAGCTTGGCGGTGGGCTACTGTGCAGGAGACAGTAGAAGGCTGAAATCAAGACAAGTTATGCCTAATATTAAAGCCTAACTAGAAGATACACAAGTAAAAACACAGCTCTGTGATTACTGATACATCATTCAAATGTATTTTTTTTTTTTAACACCTGCAGTGTAAGTACCTGAAATTGACTTGATTTCAGCCTCTTAAGTCTTTGCACAGCAGAGGTCAACCTGGGAGAGGGAGTTGCGTTGCAGTGCTCATGTGCTAAAAAAAGGGGCATGCTGATAGGAGAAGAAAGCAGTGTGACAGGGAGAAAAGCCAATATGTCTGCTGCTTCCCCTTCACTGCCCACAGCCTGGAGAAGTGACAAATAAGCAGAGAAACATCAGGTTTCCTTCTACGTCAGACAGAGCTGTGCTGTGTGACAGAGCTGTGTAAACTTTAAGACTGAATGGATGGAAGTAGAAATCCTTTGAGGGTAAAACCATTCCCCTATTTGTATTTTATCTGTGTATCTACAATATATCCAAAAAACCTGTACATATACAGATACTTTTATACAGGGCTTTTTTCAGCACCTCCAGCACTCAATATATGTAACGGCAATGGGTGCTGGGGTGTGATGGAGAGTCTAATAAATGCTGGCTGCTGGAGGAGACCTATTTTTGTGTGGGGTCTACTGTTGCTGGGGAGGTCCAATATTGCTGGTGGGAAATCTATTCTTGCTGGAGGGTCAATTGTTACTGGGAGGGATCTACTGTTGGGAGAGAGGTCCAATGATGATGGCTGCTGGGAGATCTGTTATTGCTGCTGCTGGGGACTACTGTTGCAGGAGGTCTAATGATGCTGGGGGGGAGGGGATCTTTTGTCATGTGAGGGTCTATTGTTCCTGGGGGACATATTCTCTTCAAGGCTACAGGGGATCTATTTTAGATGGGTAAAGGGCAGAGACAAGGGTGACTCAAAACGGGGGAGTTCCTGCACCTATCTCAAAGAATAATAAAGCCATGCTTGTATATCTGGGTAGTTGGGTGTTTGCCTGGAGTTTAGCTTTAAGGGGTCATTCGTCTCGTTTTTGATTTACCTGGAAAAGATGACCACATACAGAGTGAGTATTCGCCACACTTCAGCATGTCCTTGTAATCAAACAGCATGGTGTTCACCCATGCAATGGGGTAATCCTGGTCAGATGAAGAACAAAAAAAACTGTTACTACAAGAATACTATGGACATGGTGGCTGGAAAAGCACATCAGGCACCCACCTTTTTGGACTTCTTCTTGGTAGACCTGGGTTTCTTCGACTTGTCGATGGCATAAAGAGCCAGGCTGAGCCGCGTCATACGAGGAAGGTCGCACACATTGATTTCGAACTCCAGAATCTGCTGCCACTGAGGCTCGGAAGAGGCGTTCACCTCAGTACTTGCCACGGTCTTGCACAGGAGCTCACTGCCATGATAGAGGCCACAGTAGACCAGCAGCTGTAGAAGTCCAAAAGTGGGAGGGACATAAGAGACCATGTGAGACCTGCTATGTATTCTTCAGAAGCAGGGGTCCATGCATACAGGGAAAAAACATTGAGAAGCTAGAGGGTTCTTCTTGGCAGTCTGACATGAGGAGAAACCCCTAAATGTCCATGACAAGAAGGGGTAAAGAGTGCGCAGGTGGACACCCACAGTGCAGCAACAGGAAGACAGACTTACTTCAGAATTCAGCAAAGAAGTCCTTTGTCACATTGGGGGAGATTTCCAAAAACTGGAGAATGCAAAAATCTGGTGCAGCTCTGCTAAAAAACCAATCAGCTTCCATGTTTTATTGTCAAAGCTTCATTGAACAAGCTGAGGTTAGAAGCTGATTGGCTGCCATGCACAGCTGCACCAGATTCTGACTGCTCCAGTTTTAGTAAATCTCCTCCATACAGTCTGGTTTGCGGTTTCCCATAGTGGAGCAGAGATTTTAAATTAGGACGCCAAAGCTAAGCTACCATGGCAAGCAACAGAAAGAACAAAAGTTTCTTTTTCCAAAGTGAACATAAGTGTGATTATGCATATCATCGGGGGGCAGAGGAGTCTGGGAGGAGGAAATCAAGCTGTGTCATCAATGACTAGGAGTGTGTTGCTGGCAATGAACCTCTTGTTCGAGAGGGGGGGGCGAAGAGAGAGGGGGGGAGAGAGAAGAGGGGATGAGAAGAGAGAGAGAGGTGGGAGAGAAATGAGAGAGGTAGGGGGGAGAGAGGATTGGGGGGAGGAGAGGAGGGAGAGAAGAGAGGAGGGGGGGAGAGGAGTGGGGTGAGAGAAGAGAGGGGGGGGGAGAGGGGGAGGTGAGAGCGGGAGAGAGAGGAGGGGGGGAGAGGAGGAGGTGGGGGGAGAGGAGGGGTGGAGAGGGGGGGAGAGAGAGGGGGAGTGGGGGGAGAGGGGGGGGAGAAGGAGGGGGGGGGAGGGGGGAGAAGAGAGGGGGGGAGATGGGGGGGGGGGAAGAAGACAGGGGGGAGAGGCGAGAGAGGGATTAAGGGGGGGAGGAGAAGGGGGGGGGGGGGAGAGAGAGAAGAGGTGGCCGGAGAGGGAGATAGAGAGGGGGAGAGAAGAGGAGTGGGGCAGTGAAGTGGAGGGGGAGGAGGAAGAGGGAGGGGGAGAAGAGAGGGGGGGGAGTAATGGAGAGAAGAGTGAGGGAGGAGGTTCTGAGAAGAGGGGGAGGGATGAGAGGGGGGGAGTGAGAGAGAGGGGGGGGAGCAGAGTGGGGGGGGAAGAGGGGGGGGGGGGGGGGGGGGGAGGAGAGGGGGGGAGAGGGGTGAGGTGGGAGAAGAGGGGGGGGAGAGCGAGTAAGGGAGGGGCGGGGATGTAGGGTGGGAGGCGAGGGGGAGGGGAGGGGGGGAGAGGGGAGGGGGAGGAGAGTAGGGGATAGGGGGGGTGGAGAGAGGGGGAGGGGAAGAGGGGTGAGGGGAGGAGGGGGTAGTGAGGTGGGTGGGAGGAGAGGGGAGGGGGGGGGCAGGGGGAGAGGGGAGGTGGAAGGAGAGAGGGAGGGGAGGGGGGAGGGGGAGAGGCGAGGGGGGGGGGGGGGGAGGGGGGGCGGGGAGGAGAGGGGGTGAGGGGGAGGAGGGGGGGAGGGGAGGGGGAGGCGGGCTAGGGGGAGGGGGGGGGGAGGGGGGGGAAGGGGAGAGGGGGAGGGGTGGATAGGGGGAGGAGAGGGGGGAGGGGAGGAGTAGGGGAGGGGTTAGCAGAGAAGTGTGGGGGGGGAGAGAGACACGGGGAGGGGAGGGGGGCCGAGAGGAGAGAGGGGGCGAGGTGAAGGAGAAAAGGGGGGGAGAGGCGAAAGGAAATGCGAGGAGGGAGAGGGGAGGGACGGAGGGGAAACTCGGGGGGAAGAAGAGAAAGGAGAGCAGAGATAGCAGCTAGGGAGGGGGAGAAAGGCGGTTAACCGGGGAGGGGAGAGGAGGGGTGGAAGGGGGAGGGGGAGGGAGCGAGGGAGGCAGAAGTGAAGGGGGGAGAGGAGAGAGGGTGGGGAGAGGGGAAGAGGAAGGGAGGGAGAGAAGAGAGAGGAGAGAGGGAGAGGATCCGAGGTTAGGGGGGGCTAGAAGGGAGGGAGGGGGGGGATGAGATAAGAGCGAGAATCCGAAGGGAAAGATGGGGGAGGAGAAGTCGGAGAGAAAGGAGAATACGGGATGAGAGAGGCAGGGAAGAGGGAGATTTGGAGGAAGCGAGGGAGGTGAGACGGAAAGAGGAAGGGAGGGAGAGGAGGAGGAGGGGAGAGGGGAAGGGGAGGGAGGGGGGGAGAGGGAGGGGGGGGGGGGCGGAGAGGGGGGAGGGGGGGAGGAGGAGGGAGGGAGAACGAGGGGGGGGAGAGGGGAAATAGGGAGGGGGGGGAGAAGAGGAGGAGGGGGAGAGAGGGAAGGGAGATTAGAATGAGGAGGAGGGGGGAGGAGGGGTGAGGGGGGAGGGAGGGATGAGGGGGGGAGGAAAGCGAGGAGAGGGAGAGGGGGGAGGAGGGAGGGGGGGGGAGAGAACGAGGGAGGGGAAGAAGAGCGAGAGAAACGTGAAAAGGGGGGGACGGGAGCTGAGGGGGGGGAGAGAGGGGAGCGGGGAGGAGTGAGAAGAGGGGGGGAGAGAAAGAGAGAGAGGGGAGGAGGGGGAGGGGGGGAGGAGGGAGCGGGGAGGAAGGAGAAGGAGAGGGGGGGGGAAGGGGGGAGGGGAGGGGGGAGGGGGGGGGAGAAGGGGAAGGGAGGGTAGGAGGGGGGGGGAAAGAGGGCAGGGGAGGCGAGGGGGGCGGGAGAGAGAAAGGGAGACGAAGGAGGGGGGGAGGAGAGCGAGGGGGGGGGGGCGGAGCGAGAGGGGGGAGCGGTATGAGGGGGGGGGAATACGAGAAGGGGGAAAGGAGAGGGGAGCGAGGGGGGGCTTTGAGAGAGAGGGACGGGGGAAAGAAAGGGGGGAGAGAGTGAGGAGGGGGGGGAGAGATGAGGAGCGATGGGGGGGAGAGAGAGGTGGAGCGAGGGGATGAGAGAGGGGGGGAGAAACACGCAAGACTTCCAGTTAAAAAAGACTGCAACTTTTTCGAATCCACGGCTAGGCTAACAAATACTCAACATAATGCTGAACAATGAAAACAAAGTACGATATGAATCAGTTCAACATAATGAATATAAAGAAAAAAAATATTCTTCAATAAAGAAAAGGTGCATCTGAAATAATTTCCCATCCTGCACAGAAGTCTAGCTCAGGACCTTCATACAGTTCTCTCCTAACAGCAATCACAGCTTTCCACTCTGCTTGTATTTACAAGGGGGACCTCTATTCAGCCAGCTTTCAGCTTTACTTTGAACCTTCATCGAGGTTAACATTTTTTCTGTAGGAGAGAGTTGAAATACAAAATGGCTTCTCCAGGGTCCAGAGGGAAAGGACACTGATGCGGCTGAGGAAGAAAAAGCAAAATCCATTTCAGTGGGGTCCATATGGATTGTTCATCACATTTGCAAATGAATGCAAAAGCTGCAACTGTAGTATAGATCTTTACCTTTTTAGTAGGTAGTGGAGGGGGTTTGAAATGCGGCTTTTGGACTATAGGTGGTTTGTGGGATCTCCCTGTTGTCCAAGGTAACATGGAAGCGATGGGGTGACGAGGGGTAAGGTGAGCAGTCCAGTGATTCTACAAACATGGGCTGATGTACTGTAAGGACGGCAGGGAATATTTAGCAGGTCACATAGAAGGAGCTAGTAAAGCAGAATAAGTGCATATATACTTACTTTGAACTGGCAGAGGAGGGTAGTTGCGTAAATGTATTCCAACATGCCGTTTATCTGAAGGGGGTTATAAAGTACTCTTTCAGGCCTACCGGACAGCGATTCTGACCAGATACATTGGAAACTTTTTCCGTAGTGTAGCCAGTCGGACGAGCTAGAGGATGGGGAGGTCTCGGGGAAGAGACTTGTAGGTGAAATGGTTCCTGTAGACAAAAGGACCAGTATTTAGAAGCAAAAACATGTGCAACTTTGATAATTATTATTATACAGGATTTATGGCGGCCAAACAGAAATGCTCAGCGCTTTAACAATATAACGGGAGACAATACAGCAACAATGCAGTTCAATACAAGAGGGTAGGAGGGTCCTGATCCTGGGAGCTTACAATTAGATAAAGATATTGGCTTTTAAAGGAGAAGTGTAACTTTGGGGCACATATCACATATTCCAGCATCATCTGCAGACCTCCCCCGCTGACGCTAGTTCGCAAGCGGGGGATCCTCTCAAACGCGCACCATTGTCACAATTTAGCCGAGCTGCGGCCCACATAGCCGCATCATTCAATGCAGTTTCCTGTGAATGGATAGACTACAGTGTGTAGTTCTCAATGGACTGCGAGGACACTGGTGGGCGCTCTGGTACTTCACCGATCTTCCTGCTTTCAGGTAACTGCCTGCTTGTACAAAGTCCGGGCAGACAGCTATCCTGGGAGTCTGCAGGAGCCTGAGATTGCACCTGTGATCTGTTGATTGCGGGTGCAATGTTGCCTCCTTAGGGGAAAAAAAATCATAAAACACATTTTTTTTTTACCTGCAAAATGTGCATTTATAATTTTTGTTTAAAAAAAGGTGAACGCCTACCACAGATTTACCGTGGCAGAGCAGCCCAGCTGTGGCGGATCACGTACCTATACATGATCCAGCAGTTCCGTGTAGGACAGGGGTGTCAAAACTGGCAGCCCTCCAGCTGTTGCAAAAACTACAAGTCCATCATGCCTCTGCCTTTGGGAGTCCTGCTTGTAACTACAATTCCCATGAGGCATTGCAAGATTGACAGTTTTTGGCAACAGCTGAAGGGCCGCCAGTTTGACACCCATGGTGTAGGGGGGGCACGTGTGTCCTCTGCTCTGGCTGTGTTGTCAATTGCTACAGCACAAGCCGAATAGCATACTGGGGCGAATTCCCATGACCAATCAAATCTCTTACAATAGTAGCTTGAGCGGGATATGTGATGTTTGTGGTACTTAAGGGGTTTATTTAAAATAAGATAGTCAAAAGCCTGGGAAATTCAAACTGGTCATAAGGAAAAAACACTTAGGCCTGGTTCACACCTATGCAATCTGCTGCATAAAAAAAAAAAAAAAGAAGTTCTTGATCCTTCCCAAAAACATAGCGGCGGAAACCATGTTAAATGGACTGTGGTGTGTTTCTGCAAAACTCAAAAAGCACTTAAAAAAACGAGTGAACCAGTCCTTAGAGGGACCCTGCTACCTACTCCTAGTGTTCTGTTGATGGGGATCTTCCTGCTCTCGGGTAACTGCCTGCTTTGTACAAAGTTGGGGCAGACAGCTATCCCGAGAGTCTGCAGGAGCCTGAGATTGCACTTGTGATTGCTCTGGCCTGAATGGCCAATCCCCAGGCCTGGAAGCTGTCAGCAGAGGAGGAAAACAATGTCATAAATCCTGCGGAAGCTGTGCCCTCATCCAGCATACACAAGGTTTGCCTCCCAGTGGAATGGAATGGAAGGCAAGTATGAGCCTAATTAGGTTGTAGAGTCCTTTTAAATGGCCATCCACCACCCGTCCTAAAATATAGTGCCACACTATCTTGTAGACGGCGGTTTTCTGGCTGGTTAGCCCCCGTTAGCCTAAGATATGTAAACACTCCTTGACACAGGGAAAATACTAAAGTGAACTGATATACGAGGGGCGTTCAAGTCAAACCGGGACTTTTGAGTTTATATAATAAAAGAAAAAAATTCAAAGAGTGGAAACTGAATTTATTTTTCGACATACTCCCCTGCTACATTTTATACACTTTAATCCCAGCATTTAATGCCTGGAAAGCTTCAGCACAGGAAGATTTGTCAGTACACTGAGCCATCCTAGAACAGCCTGCTTCATTTTATGAATGATTGTATTCACTGTTCCTCAGAAAGCTTCGTCTTTTTCACACCACGTTATGGGTCGAGTATCCAGGAACAGGCATTCCACGCACTGAATGTTCACAGGAATGACTGCTGTGGGCTGGGAACCACCATGGCCGGGGTCATCACTGACAGACGTACAGCCATCTTTGATAAGTCTTATGTAGATATTTGCGGGTTTTACGCGCTTCGTCCACAGAAACTTCATGACCACACGATGTTCCATGCATGCACTAACACTGTTGTCTGCCATCTTGACTAACGGTCTCTGGACTGACCCGCAACACATGTGGTGCCTATCTGTAATAGGACACACTTGCCACTTACTACAGCGTGTAGTACCGCCACGCTAGCATCTCTTTTTATACCCGTAAAATGAAAAGTCCTGGTTTGACTTGAACGCCCCTCGTATATATTGTAGGATTTAGGTATTGCCCGATACTTTTTTTTTGGCCAAGTCTAATTTTAAAAACTTTAATGCCCAACCCCCTTCCCCCAGTAAAAGATAGGAATCATAACCAGAAACACGTACCAGAACACACATCTTACCTCACTATTTTCAAATTTAAACGTTGATCATGATGGTCTTGCTGGAGAAAGGCTTGCTGAACAGGGTGGTGGACGGCTCCAGCTGCAGAGGGAAATTGGATTCCATCCAGCTCTCCCAGCTCATGTGTTGGCGCTGCAATGCCACCTGCTCACAGAACTGGCGCATTTTGGTGCGGAAATCGTTAACCTCTGTGTCATTTAAGGAGTCGAAATCATGGAGACCTGAGAGATTAAAAAGGAACAGAAGCACAGCAAAGATAAACACTGTTGTAATTGTTCAATGATGCAGCAAGTATGTGACAGTATCTATAGCAGGGTTTCTCAACCAGTGTTCCATGGAACCCTAGGGTTCCTCCAGAGATCGCTAGGGGTTCCTTCAGAGGCTGCTAGGGGTTCCTCCAACAATGACCAATTACTACCTCTCAGATAAGTTCCCACTGACACCAATGATCTTTTTAGCTATCTGTAATGGAAGGGGGGGGGAATCTTCCCAATGACCACAAGTACAAGGAGCATTCTTCCCACTGACCATCACACTAATGTACAGTTGTGTTCAAAATAATAGCAGTGTGTTGAAAAAAGTGAATAAAAGCTCAAAATCCTTCTAATAGCTTTTATTTCCATACACCCAAATGCATTGGGAACACTACACATTCTATTCCAAATCAAAACATGAAGAAGAATAGATCAAATGTGTGTTGTTCCTCTAAAAAAATTGAAAAGTGAATATTAGACGGTTCAAAAAAATAGCAGTGTTTGTATTCTTTTTACAAACTCAAACGTTCACTATATAAACCTAAAAAAGTTTTGAAGATTTTGCTTTCCTTTGAATCACTTAATGAATATTTGGTTGTAGTCGCACTGTTTCTGAGAACTGCTGTACATCTGTGTTGCATGGAGTCACCCAACTTCTGGCCCTGTGATCAGGTATTCCAGCCCAGGATGATTGGACCATGACATTCCACAGTTCTTCTCTATTTCTTGGTTTTGCCTCAGAAACGGCATTTTTGATGTCACCCCACAAGTTTTCTATTGGATGAAGATCCGGGGATTGGGCTGGCCACTCCATAACGTCAATCTTGTTGGTCTGGAACCAAGATGTTGCACGTTTACTGGTGTGTTTGGGGTCGTTGTCTTGTTGGAACACCCATTTCAAGGGCATTTCCTCTTCAGCATAAGGCAGCATGACCTCTTCAAGTATTCTGATGTATTCAAACTGATCCATGATCCCTGGTATGCGATAAATAGGCCCAACACCGTAGTATGAGAAACATCCCCCATATCATGATGCTTGCACCCTACCATGCTTCACTGTCTTCACAGTGTACTGTGGCTTGAATTCAGTGTTTGGGGGTCGTCTGACAAACTGTCTCCGCCCACTAGACCCAAAAAGAACAATCTTACTTTCATCAGTCCACAAAATGTTGCGCCATTTCTCTTTAGGCCAGTCAATGTGTTCTTTGGCAAATTGTAACTTCTTCAGCACGTCTTTTTTTCCAACAGTGGGACTTTGCGGGGACTTCTTGCAGATAGCTTGGCTTCACATAGGCGTTCTTCTAATTGTAACAGTCCTCACAGGGAATGTCACACTTCTTCTTTCATCTTCCTGGAGCTGATTGTTGGCTGAGCCCGCGCCATTTTGGCTATTCTTCTATCCATTCCAATGGTAGTTTTTCGCTTTCTTCCACGTCTTTCAGGTTTTGGTTGCCATTTTAAAGCATTTGCCATCATTTTAGCTGAGCAGCCGATCATTTTCTGTACTTCTTTATATGTTTTCCCCTCCAATCAACTTTTTAATCAAGGTACGCTGTTCTTCTGAACAATGTCTGGAAACGACCCATTTTCCTCAGAATTTCAGAGAGAAATGCACTGTAACCAGCATGTACAACATTTGCTGCCTTCCTTCCTTAAATAAGGGCAATAATTGCCACCTGTTTTTCAAAGAATGAATGACCTCACTAATAGAACTTCACACTGCTATTATTTTGAACATGCCCCTTTCAATTAGTGATTCAATGACACAGAATCAGCAGCATGCATGTCATGACTGTTGGGTCTGTTGGATTTCTATTACTCTACTACACCTGCTAGGAAATTATTTGCCATGTAGAAATATCATTTCTACCAAAAACAGTGATTGATCCGGTTAGTGATGTCTGACTGCTACTATTTTGAAAACAACTGTACCACGAGTTGTAGATAAAGTAATTTTTAGCAGGAGTTCCCTGAGACCGGAAAGTTATTTCAAGGTTTCTTTTGTGCTCAAAAGGTTGAGAAAGTCAGATCTATAGCATACATAAATTCCGTACTCTTACTCTTGAACCTCTCCGCTGCCTTGGACAGAGTTGACCACCCCCTCCTCCTCAAAAAACTCTATTTACTGGGTCTCTGTGACTGTACTCTCTGTTGGTTTGAATCTTACCTATCTCACGGCACCTTCAGTGTCGCTTACAACTCTTCTTCCTTCTCGCCTGCTCCTCTTACCATCAGGGTCCCCCAAGGTTCTGTCCTTGGACCTCTCATATTCTCAATCTACACTTCTTTCTTGGGTCAGCTTCCCATGGTTTCCAATACAATTTCTATTAACACTCAATCTGTCCAAAACCGAGCTCATAATATTTCCTCCCCCATGTGTCTCTTTCCCAGATTTCTCGGCCTGGATCAATAGCACCACTATCAACCCATCCCCGCATGCCAGGGGACACCCTGGATTCTGAACTATCCTTTCAAGCCCACATCTAATCCCTGTCCAAATCATGCCGCCTCAACATCCCCTTTTTAACCAATAATGCCACAAAGCTCCTAATTCACTCCCTGGTCATCTCTCGCCTGGACTACTGCAACTCTCTCCTCATTGGCTTTCCTTTACATAGGCTTTCCCCCTCCAGTCCATCATGAATACTGCTGCCAGGCTCATCCACCTTACCAACCGGTCAGTGTCTGCTACCCCTCTGCAAATCCCTCCACTGGCTTCCACTCGCCCAACAAATAAAATTCAAAATACTAACAACAGCTTGCAAAGCCATTCACAACTCTGCCCCCAGCTACATCACCAACCTGGTCTCAAAATATCAACCAAACTGCTCTCTTCAATCCTCACAAAGACCTCCTGCTCTCCTGCCCCCGAGTCACCTCATCCCATTCTCGCCTCCAGGACTTCTACCAAGCTTCTCCCATCCTATGGAACTCCCTACCCCAATCTGTCCGGCTGTCTTTTAATCTATCCACCTTTAGACGATCCCTGAAAACATCTCTCCTTAAAGAAGCCTATCCTGCTTCTAACTAGTAAACTGCTTTTTGTTTCCTCCATCAGCTCATCCTCCCACAGCTATTACCTCTTGCATCACTCAACCCTTCCTCCTGGATTGTAAGCTCTAACGAGCCGGGTCCTCTGATTCCTCTTGTACCAAATTGTGTTGTAACTGTAATGTCTGCCTTCATTTTGTAAAGTGCTGCGCAAACTGTTGGCGCTATATAAATCCTGTATAATAATAATACTACATGTAGATTTGTCTGCATTAAGATGCAAATGCTGCAAAATCCTTAAAGTGGAGCTCTACAACTTGGCTTTTATCGCCATTTGGGCCCCATCGGGGAGCTTCCTTTTCACTTCCTGTGGTGTCACTGTAACAGGAAGTGAGGTAGAATCGCTCCAGTGAGGACATTCATCATGAGGTCAAGCTAGCACTGGCCTGTGTTAGAGGATTATCTATACAATAAAAACATAGAACCATCAAGGAGACAGTTCCTATGGGGGCTTCCTGTGTGAAAGTATTTGAAAGAAGAATTAGCACTGCACCTTACCATTCAAGCTTACAGGAAGAGTTTGGCTGCTACATCAATACAGACAGTTCTCATTTCAGACACAAACATGCATTACATTCAAGAAAGCAGTATTAAAGTCAAAAATTGAAAAACTGCTGACAGAGCATGGTTTTTATAACAGAAGAGACCCTAGTGGTCTCTTTAGTCACTAATGCCTCTTCTGGCCTGGCAGTGGTAATGTAATCTGAGCCATGCATACGCAATGCAGATCCCTTTTACAGCAGTCGTTCTGTGCATCCTGTGTGCATGCGCGGGCATTGACCTCAGCTCAGCCATTTAAGTGGCTGGAGAGCGCAAACCCAGATGGAAGACCGGGCGAAGATGGGAGCGCCTGGAACCAGCTGGAACAGCGACAGCACAGTGCTGGAGGGCTGGTTTAATAGGAACGTCTACCAAAATGTGCTAATATGCAGTGCATACTAACACAATATGGCATAAACCTCCTGGGGGGGCGCACAGAAAAAAAAAAAGAGTTTAATAACGCTTTAAAGCCTGAGTCCCCTCCCCTTCCACGCTCACCTTTGTTAATGAGTAGGCTGATTTGGGAGTTCAGAAGCTTCTCGGCCCGGTCACCCTCCCTGGCCACGAGCCTCAGGACGGGTAAGAAAGGTTGAATGTCGCAAAGTCGCCTTTGTTCATCCTCCAGCTCTTGCTGTTCCGCTGTCTGGTTGATGCAGGTAAAGACATAGGAGGACGGGGGACCCCAGTGTGTGGAACAACGGCTCCTGCTGCGCCTTCTCCCATAGTAACTTCAAATAGAACAAAAAATAAAGGGAACAAATTTATACAGTAAACATGGAAAAATATGTTCACATCCATCATCGGTTCACAAGAGAAAAGCAGAAAAGATTGAACTAAAATGACACTTTGTCTTTGTTATGTAGGCTTTAAAAGAGAAAAATGGACATAAAAAAAAAAAAAAGTATACTCGCCTAGATGGATGTAGCATTGATACGATTCTGTATCCCGCCAGCTTTGCACGTAGAACTGAGCAATCAGACACAGATGATGGCTCAGCTCTTCCTCCACTCTGTGCAGAGAGCTTTGACTGTCAGTCTCCAGCTCTCTGCTCTGCCGCTCTAGCGCTCAATGTGCTGTGGAGGGGCGGGAGCGGCTGGTGCAGATCTAGGCCTCTGGGTGGATCCCGACCATATGGTCAGAAACTTTTCGAGCCTAGACTGGCTGAGCGAGCGACGTCAGCCAACAGCGGACTGACTACAGGAGAAGTATAGCCAAAATGGCTTTGGCTATACTACTCTGCTATTACAGTGCCTTGAAAAAGTATTCATACCCCTTGAAATTTTCCACATTTTGTCATGTTACAACCAAAAAGGTAAATGAATTTTACTGGGATTGTATGTGATAGACCAACACAAAGTGGCACATAATTGTGAAGTGGAAGGAAAATGGTAAATGGTTTTCAAAATATTTTACAAATAAATATCTGAAAAGTGTGGTGTGCATTTGTATTTAGCCCCCTTTACTCTGATATCCCCTAACTAAAATCTAGTGGAACCAATTGCCTTCAGAAGTAACCTAATTAGTAAATAGAGTCCACCTGTGTGTAATTTAATCTCAAATATAAATACAGCTGTTCTGTGAAGCCCTCAGCAGTTTGTTAGAGAACATTAGTGAACAAACAGCATCATGAAGGCCAAGGAACACACCAGACAGGTCAGGGATAAAGTTGTGAAGTTTAAAGCAGGGTTAGGTTATAAAAAAGTGTCCGAAGCTTTGAACATCTCACAGAGCACTGTTCAATCCATCATCCGAAAATGGAAAGAGTTTGGCACGACTGCAAACCTACCAAGACATGGCCGTCCACCTAAACTGATAGGCCGGGCAAGGAGAGCATTAATCAGAGAAGCAGTCAAGAGGCCCATGGTAACTCTGGAGCAGCTGCAGAGATCCACAGCTCAGGTGGGAGAATCTGTCCACAGGACAACTTGTAGTTGTGCACTCCACAAATCTGGCCTTTATGGAAGAGTGACAAGAAGAACGCCATTGTTGGAAGAAAGCCATAAGAAGTCCATTTGCAGTTTGGGAGAAGCCATATGGGGGACAAAGCAACCATGTGGAAGAAGGGGCTCTGGTCAGATGAGACCAAAAATTAACTTTCTGGCCTAAAAGCAAAATGCTATGTGTGGCGGAAAACTAACACTCCACATCACCTTGAACACACCATCCCCACTGTGAAACATGGTGGTGGCAACATCATGCTGTGGGGATGCTTTTCTTCAGCAGGGGACAGGGAAGCTGGTCAAAGTTGATGGGAAGATGGATGGAGCCAAATACAGGGAAATTTTAGAAGAAAACCAGTTAGATCTGACTTGAGACCGGGGCAGAGGTTCACCTTCCAGCAGGACAACGACCCGAAACATCCATCCAGAACTACAATGGAATGGTTTAGATCAAAGCATATTCATGTGTTAGAATGGCCCAGTCACAGTCCAGACCTGAAATTTGCTGTTCCCAGACGCTCTCCATCCAATCTGACAGAGCTTGAGCGATTCTGCAAAGAAGGGGCAAAAATGTCCCTCTCTAGATGTGCAAAGCTGGTAGAGACATCCCCAAAAAGACTTGTAGCTGTAAGGTGGTTCTACAAAGTATTGACTCCGGAGAGTTGAATACAAATGCCGCCACACTTTTCACAATTTGTTGAAAATTTTTGAAAACCATTTTCATTTTCCTTCCACTTCACAATTATGTGTCACTTCGTGTTGGTCTATCACATCCAATCCCAATAAAATAAATTTATGTTTTTGGTTTTAACATGAAGAAATGTGGAAAATTTCAAGGGGGAGGAAGACTTTTTCAAGGCACTGTAACTCCAGAGGGTGTATTTAATAGGATTAAAACAACAGAAGTGCTGAGTGAAGCAAGCCACATCATCCAATAAGATTTCAGATTACAGTTGCCTGTCACTCCCACAAAGTTGGTAATGTCCCTCCTATGAGGAAGCTCTCAGCTGTGTATATGCTACATCTTGAAGAATCCATCCGTGGAGAAATCGCTGTCAGCCTGTGATTACGTCTCCGACACATTCATGTGTAAATTGGCATTCTCCACCATCCCTCTGGATGTGTTTTATGAAATAAAATTGAACTGCAGAACATTTCACAGGAATAACATTAAATATAAATGAGAGGCAAGGGCTAAAACTGAACTCCAAAAATATTAAATATAAAATAATATACAGGTGAATGCAGTTCTGCATTTATTATAAAACCCTGAAATAAATTTGTAAATAACAAAATTTCACTTGATTTTAGCATCCTGTACAGCAGCATTCAGATTGGGAGAGGACCGGAAGCGCTAAGAGCCAATCAGGTGTGTTTCATTCACACATGCCTAGATGGAGCATGCACATAGGAGTAGAGAGCAGAGTGGTGACCTCATCAGTGCTTCGCTGCTCTTTTACACAGGCTGGGGGAGGGGGGTGACCTCGATGTTGCTTAACTGCAAAAAAGAAAAGTCCGGTCAAAGGACTGGCTGTGCTGTCTGGCAAGGTATTGTAAATCTCAGGACTGTGTGCGGATATACTAATCCTTAGGCGAATAACACAGCTCCCATATATGTATTTTAATTTCTTAATATGTATTTAGTGGTTTGCCTGATGTTCAGCTTTAACTAAAAGATTTGTAGCTCTTTTAATGGCCAATTTTTATTCGAATTGCCGATTTCAGATTCTAATGAAAAAAGATCAGTTTTTTGCTTTTTTGCAGAATGCCTCGACTTTAGATTTTAGTCATCACGCAATTAAAAAAAAGAGCAGATTGGATCACTTACCTTCTTAATGTTTCCAAGACTGGCATTGCACGGCACGGGGAAGTTGAGGTAAATGCCCGTGGGGAGCAGGAAGTCCACCAAGATTTTTTTATTCTCCTCCTTGGCCCAGAAGTCCACTGGGCAGTAAACTCCGGGCGGCATCCTGCCCTCTGGCTACCGCCCCTCCAGCCCTGCAAAGACACAGCATTTAAAAGACACAGTTTATGTACCAAGCTTTTCCCTGTTCCCTTCCCAATTCCTGGCCAGCTGTATACAGGAGAGCAAAAGCACACGACTATTCCTCTGCAGAACACAAACTTACAAAACCCAACACCCATCACACGGCCCACATATAAAAGCTATTTGTTCTGAAGACTGCGCTGGACTGACTGGATCAGTCACCGGTTGTAGGTGGGTGGGTAGGGAGATGTCCCTAAACGCACTTGTACCCAGAGGTGGATATTGGCAGTAAACCCTTTTAAGGGTTTGGGCTGTTGCCTTTCTGGTAAAAGCCTTGAGGTCGTTTCCATATGTATACTTGGAATAATAGAAAAGAAGAAGCTCCCGATGTCCAAAAGAATGCAGTTTTGATGGTAGATTATGAGGCATTTATTGAGAGTAATGACAAGTACATCAAGCAAAATGCGTTTCGGGAGAGAAGACTCTTCCTTCTTCAGGGCCATTAAACAAATACAGAAAATATACAGGAAAACAAATATATGAGAAAGAAAAAAAACAGTATGTACATTAGAATAAAATGCCCCCCCCCCCCCTTTTTCATATATTTGTTTCTCTGTATATTTTTCATATTTGTTTATATCCCTGAAGAAGGGAGTCTTTTCTCTTGAAACGCGTTGGCTTGATGTACTTGTTACGCTCAATAAATGCCTCTTAATCTACCATCAAAAGTGCATTCTTTTGGACATTGTGAGCTCCTTTTCTTTTATTCCACATATAAAACCTGTCACTTTGCCATTTCACAGCACACACAGAGGTTGGGAAGACTTCTGGCATGCAGGTTAGTTGTGCAAAGGGCAGTCCAGCCCTTGACTTTTGCGGATATTCAAATATTAGCACATGCAGGGTCTCCGGGGAGCTTTGGCTGTTTGGAAGGGTGTCTGAAATGGATTCTCGTTCGGCAATGAATTCCCAGTGGTTAGTCAATGTGGACACAAATAATACTTCAGTTTTTTTTTTTTTTTTGTGCAATGTACCTTTTTTCTACAATAACCTATGCTAACATTGGGTGTCCCAATGATTCAATCACAGTCATTACTAGAAACTTGCTGGAACACACTATTGGGACCAGCTTTGGTCAAAGTCATCCACAGTTCCCTAAATAGAGATTCACCGTCCCATATAAGTAAGCGGCCAGTGTAGTTGGAAAGCCTGATCCGTATACTTTAGTAATTTGTAATAATCTATTGCAAACTATGGTTTCTCAGGTAAAGAACGGGGGGTACAAAATATAAGCAAAACAAAAAAAAAAGGAACACCCAGAATATGGAGCAGTGATCACAGCGGCATATTCTGTTGACAGCTTAAATCAGGGGTGCTCAAGCCGTGGTGGCCTCTTGTGGCCTGCAAACTCAAACCAAGGAAGCGCTATGCCCGGGGGTTGGCAACTCATTGATCATGACCTGGGCTTGCCAGAGTATCAGAGTGTATCAGGCAGGAAACAGGCAGCCACGGAGGGAGCAGGAGCCACATAAGCCGATGCTTCCTCTGTAGTGCCGACTCCTGTCCCAGGCAGAGTGATGCCAACTGCACTCCACCTGGGACCATTCTAGCAGCCTGGAGAGCGATTGCACCAGAATATGGAACAGGAAAAGTAGGTGAGTGTATTAAACAAGACAAACTGCCCTTTTTGCAGTGGGCATATTAGAACCTATAAAAGGGTTGTGAGGAAAATAAACTAGAGTGTTGGCGGGGGTGTGGAAAGATAGGTACCTTATATCACACATGGTGGGAGTGCCCAAAGATTCAAGGTTATTGGGAGACAATGGTACATTTACCGTATTTTTCGCTCCATAAGACGCACTTTTTTCCCCCCAAAAAAGAAGGAAAATGTCAGTGCGTCTTATGGAGCGAATATGGAGCGGCCGGTCCGGTATTTCCACCACCGCCGTGTCAGAATACCGGGTCGGCTGCTCAGCACTGCAGTGGGACCTTACCTGTTCCTCCATCCAGCGGCGCGCTGTCTTCCCGGCTTCTGTAGTGTGCGTGACAGCTGGGTCCCAAGTGCGCATGCGCAAGAAGCGGTGCTCTTTGTGAACGGTAAGGCGGTACCTGGGACACATGACAGATCCCAGAAGCCGGCGGACCAATCACAAAGCGCAGCGCTTCTCGCTCATGAGCACTGGGCATCCAGCTGTCCGCCGAGCGCCCACACTACAGAAGCCGGGAAGACAGCACGCGGCTGGATAGAGGAACAGGTAAGGTCCCGCTGCAGAGCGGACACTAACTAAAGAACAACTCCGCGGAAGTAAGAGCGGGTACCTGTCATATTCAGGTACCCGCTCCCCCCCCTCCCCAAAGGTCAGCAGTCATCTCCTGTACTGTCCACAGTCTCTGGTCATCCCCTGTACTGTCCGCAGTCTCTGGTCATCTCCTGTACTGTCCGCAGTCTCTGGTCATCTCCTGCACTGTGTCCGCAGTCTCTGGTCATCTCCTGTACTGTGTCCGCAGTCTCTGGTCATCTCCTGTACTGTGTCCGCAGTCTCTGGTCATCTCCTGTACTGTGTCCGCAGTCTCTGGTCATCTCCTGTACTATGTCCGCAGTCTCTGGTCATCCCCTGTACTGTCCACAGTCTCTGGTCATCCCCTGTACTGTCCGCAGTCTCTGGTCATCTCCTGTACTGTGTCCGCAGTCTCTGGTCATCTCCTGTACTGTGTCCGCAGTCTCTGGTCATCTCCTGTACTGTGTCCGCAGTCTCTGGTCATCTCCTGTACTGTGTCCGCAGTCTCTGGTCATCTCCTGTACTGTCCGCAGTCTCTGGTCATCTCCTGTACTGTCCGCAGTCTCTGGTCATCCCCTGTACTGTCCGCAGTCTCTGGTCATCCCCTGTACTGTCCGCAGTCTCTGGTCATCTCCTGTACTGTCCGCAGTCTCTGGTCATCTCCTGCACTGTGTCCGCAGTCTCTGGTCATCTCCTGTACTGTGTCCGCAGTCTCTGGTCATCTCCTGTACTGTGTCCGCAGTCTCTGGTCATCTCCTGTACTATGTCCGCAGTCTCTGTCATCCCCTGTACTGTCCACAGTCTCTGGTCATCCCCTGTACTGTCCGCAGTCTCTGGTCATCTCCTGTACTGTGTCCGCAGTCTCTGGTCATCTCCTGTACTGTGTCCGCAGTCTCTGGTCATCCCCTGTACTGTGTCCGCAGTCTCTGGTCATCTCCTGTACTGTGTCCGCAGTCTCTGGTCATCTCCTGTACTGTCCGCAGTCTCTGGTCATCTCCTGTACTGTCCGCAGTCTCTGGTCATCCCCTGTACTGTCCGCAGTCTCTGGTCATCTCCTGTACTGTCCGCAGTCTCTGGTCATCTCCTGTACTGTCCGCAGTCTCTGTAATCCCCTGTACTGTCAGCAGTCTCTGGTCATCCCCTGTACTGTTCGCAGTCTCTGGTCATCTCCTGTACTGTGTCCGCAGTCTCTGGTCATCTCCTGTACTGTGTCCGCAGTCTCTGGTCATCCCCTGTGCTGTCCGCAGTCTCTGATCATCTCCTGTACTGTGTCCGCAGTCTCTGATCATCTCCTGTACTGTGTCCGCAGTCTCTGATCATCTCCTGTACTGTGTCCGCAGTCTCTGATCATCTCCTGTACTGTGTCCGCAGTCTCTGATCATCTCCTGTACTGTGTCCGCAGTCTCTGGTCATCTCCTGTACTGTGTCCGCAGTCTCTGGTCATCCCTGTGCTGTCCCCGCAGTCTCTGGTCATCCCCTGTGCTGTCCCCGCAGTCTCTGGTCATCCCTGTACTGTCCGCAGTCTCTGGTCATCCCTGTACTATGTCTGCAGTCCATTAGTTAAAAATTTTTTTTTTCTGTGTTCTGCCTCTAAAACCTAGGCGCGTCTTATGGAGCGAAAAATACGGTAATTGGGATAATCTCTGGGATAAAGATAGGATTGGATCCAGAGTTGTGCTATTACATAGTACAAAGTTATCAGTGAACAATACAAGGATTTGGGTATATGGTACTATCTGAATGTGGCAAAGGGTCTGATACCTACGTTTTGGCATAGTTTAGAGGTGCCTAGAGAAGAGGATTGGGTAGAAAGAGTGAATCAGATATGTAAGATGGAGAAACTGTATTATATGCAAGAAGACAAGATGGCGTTATATTACAGGAGGTGGGAAAAATGGAAGATTTTGTGCCCAAGGTGAAATATATGAAGCAGTAGAGAGGGATACGTGAAAATACCCCTTATTTAGGAAAAGAGATAATGGAGAAATGCAGAGTGGGTGGTTTTATTATCGGGGGGAGGGTGGTTTCGGGGTGGGGGGGTATTGGATGGGTGGTGGGGGGTAATGGAAATAAAGATAGAAAGGGATGTAACTGAGGGTTTTGTATGTATATGAGAGTAATGATGAAACATGTATTTTATATGTAAAATTAATAAATATTTAAAAAAAAAAAAAAAAAAGAACCTATAAAAGGGTTAACAACAATTATTATACAGGATTTATATGGCGCCAACAGTTTGCTCAGCACTTTACAATATAACGGTAGACAAAACAGTTCAATACAAGAGGGATAAGAGGGCCCTGATCCTTGGAGCTTACAATCTAGGAGATTAGTCTGCTTTCACAGTGATCTGCGGGTGCAGCGCAGTGCGCATGCGACCTTCCGGCAGGTTAGCTGCACTGAGACCGATTTCTATTATACCCTTCTGGTTTGGTGAGCTTTCAGAAAGTTATAATTATATTTATTTACAATAAGAAATAATTTAAAAAGTCTATGGCAAAGCGCAGGCAACCCATAGGAAATCCACAGGTGTACGGTGCTGCACCCACAGTGCGGGTAAACCGCAGAACATCGGTGTGAAAGCAGGCTTAAAAAGGGGGCTCAGGACAGTAGGGGCTCATTTACATTTGCGGCTGGAGGGGGGTTTAAGACCCCATCTTCGAGACATGTTTTTACCACACCCTTCAACCAATGGTGTAGCGTCGGGTTGCAATGGCGGCCCTGTCCCATGCCTAGGTGGCCTCCCTGTCCCATTCTGTTTTATACTTGGACATGAGGGGCGGCATATACATGAACCAATCCTCTTCATTTTCCTCCTGCAGTCACTGAAAGCCAGCCTCTCCTCCTCCTCCCACCAGCTTCAGTGGCTTCAGGGGAAAATGTTAATTATGCTATCCGAAAAAAAAAAAAAATTCTGAACCTTTTCATTGGAGTCTGAGAGCGGTTAATAAATTGGTTAATAGCTTCGCTCTTAAGAGGTTGAGCACCCCTGGCTGAAATCTTTATGCGACTGTCTGTAGAAGTCCCAATCTGACAGTCAGTGTAGCTACCAGATGGATGGACATGGCTCAGGTTTATGAGATAATCAACGCAGGTAATGTTTGCCTTTCAGGTTAATATAGTTAATACAGATATACATTCTCATACAACAGAACTAATGGGCCATCACAAGAACATTCTACGCTTTAAGAAACCTTTTCTCAACCTTTTCTGACATTGAGGAACCCTTTAACATTGTGGTCTCAGGGAACCCCTGCCAGCAATTACTAGATCTACAATTCACAGTACATTAGCACGCTGTCAGTTGGAAGAATGTCCCTTACATTGGTGGTCAGTGGGAAGAATGATCCCTACATTGGTGGTCAGTGGGAAGAATGCTCCTTACATTGGTGGTCAGTGGGAAGAATGCTCCTTACATTGGTGGTCAGTGGGAAGAATGCTCCTTACATTGGTGGTCAGTGGGAAGAATGCCCCTTACATTGGGGGTCAGTGGGAAGAATGATCCCTACATTGGTGGTCAGTGGGAAGAATGCTCCTTACATTGGTGGTCAGTGGGAAGAATGCCCCTTACATTGGTGGTCAGTGGGAAGAATGCCCCTACATTGGTGGTCAGTGGGATGCTCCTTACATTGGTGGTCAGTGGGAAGAATGCCCCTTACATTGGGGGTCAGTGGGAAGAATGCCCCTTACATTGGGGGTCAGTGGGAAGAATGCCCCTTACATTGGGGGTCAGTGGGAAGAATGCCCCTTACATTGGGGGTCAGTGGGAAGAATGCCCCTTACATTGGTGATCATTGGAAAGAATGCTCCTTAGATTGGTGATCATTGGAAAGAATGCTCCCCACATTGGTGATCATTGGGAAGAATGCCCCTTACATTGGGGGTCAGTGGGAAGAATGCCCCTTACATTGGGGGTCAGTGGGAAGAATGATCCCTACATTGGTGGTCAGTGGGAAGAATGATCCCTACATTGGTGGTCAGTGGGAAGAATGCCCCTTACATTGATGGTCAGTGGGAAGAATGCTCCTTACATTGGTGGTCAGTGGGAAGAATGCCCCTTACATTGGGGGTCAGTGGGAAGAATTCCCCTTACATTGGGGGTCAGTGGAAGAATTCCCCTTACATTGGGGGTCAGTGGGAAGAATTTCCCTTACATTGGGGGTCAGTGGGAAGAATGATCCCTACATTGGTGGTCAGTGGGTAAAATGCCCCTTACATTGGTGGTCAGTGGGAAGAATGCTCCTTACATTGGTGGTCAGTGGGAAGAATGCTCCTTACATTGGTGATCAGTGGGAGGACTGCTCCTTACATTGGTGGTCAGTGGGAAGAATGCGTCTTACATTGGTGGTCAGTGGGAAGAATGCGCCTTACATTGGTGGTCAGTGGGAATAATGATCCTTACATTGGTGGTCAGTGGGAAGAATTCCCTTTACATTGGTGGTCAGTGGGAAGAATGCCCCTTACAATGGTGATCAGTGGGAAGAATGCCCCTTACATTGGTGGTCAGTTGGAAGAATGATCCTTGCATTGGTGGTCAGTGGGAAGAATGCTTCTTACAATCGGGTGGTCAGTGGGAAGAATGCTTCTTACATCGGTGGTCAGTGGGAAGAATGCTTCTTACATCGGTGGTCAGTGGGAAGAATGTCCCTTACATTGGGGTCAGTGGGAAGAATGTCCCTTACATTGGGGGTCAGTGGGAAGAATGCCCCTTACATTGGGGGTCAGTGGGAAGAATGCCCCTTACATTGGGGGTCAGTGGGAAGAATGCCCCTTACATTGGTGGTCAGTGGGAAGAATGCTCCTTACATTGGTGGTCAGTGGGAAGAATTCCCCTTACATTGGTGGTCAGTGGGAAGAATGCCCCTTAAATTGGTGGTCAGTGGGAAGAATGCTCCTTACATTGGTGGTCAGTGGGAAGAAACGCAGCTTACAGATAGCTAAAAAGATCACAGATGTGAGTGGTCACTTATACAAGAGGCAGAAATTGCCCTTTACTCAGGGAACCCCTAGCAACTTCTGGAGGAACCCCAGGATTCCACAGAACCCTGGCTGAGAAAGTCTATCTTAACATATAGATGTTGTCCATGTAATCCAGCTTTTTAAAGTCTTCTGAAGGCTCAAACATTTATTTTTCAGGATATGGCCTTTGTTTACAGCCATTGATGTATTCGAGGAATGAACTGGTCAGACCTGTTCAGATCAAGTGTCAAAAGGTGAATTCCTGATGAAAACGGAAACATGCTGCTGGTATGTGAAACTGCTAGTTTTTATAATTGCCAATGCTTGGAAGGATTGTCAGTCTGGAGGAGCTTCATTCCTGAACTGCCATACTGAGTTTTTACCAAAAACCGTGACTGTACAATCACTAAAGGGCACCTGTCATGAGAAAAATCCTGGGGTTTTCCGATGCTTTGAAAAAGCCAACACATTGGCCATCATGCTGGCTTCAGTAGCTTCTAAGTCACTGAACCAGTTCAGGTATGCAGCAAGGAAATTCAGGTGAAGTAATTGTCCCTCCTCTGCATGCCTTCAAGTCCCAAAAGTATTACAAGCCTGAAAACTGGCATGGCAGCAAAAAACTAGTGTTTTCAGGAGGAGGTCAGGTTTCCTTTAGGGCTAAAGCAAGGTCACCAGCCCTGAAAAACCAATGCTAAACAAGCCTGAAACTAATCTCATAGTCACACCTCAGCCTAACTCCGAATTCCACTCTGAACCTCAGTGTAACCCCTTGCGGTAAAAGAGAAGTGTGGCCAAAACACTTTTGGCCATACTTCTATGGATTAAAGGAGTGCAGTCCATTCTGCACTCCTGTGACCCAGATTCAGCCAACGGTGGTCTGAAGCCTAATGTTGGCCAACATCACAGAGCTGGTCAAGGGTCCGAAAGGGATCCCCAACAATAATGTTGCGATCCACCCAGATGGCTGTCTGGCAGCAGGCTCAGTCTCTCAGCATGCCACCGAAAGTCTGAGCCGGCCATTCCTGCCCCCTCCACAGTGAGCACTGGAGGGGCAGAGAAGAGAGCTGGAGACTGACAGTCACCACTCTTTGCTCACTGAAGACTGAGGACTGAGCGATCTGTCTTTGACCACTCAGGTCTTGGTGTAGAGCTGGCAGGGACAGCTTCAGCATTGGCTCGATGTTGCAGCCATCTAAAGCCTGGTACACGTGTGGTCTTTGTTCAACCCAGAGGGCTGAAAGAATAAAAAAAAAAAAAAAAAAGTTCACTGTACCCAACTAAGCCATGTTAGTGCAGCAATCTCTCCCGCTTAGAGTCGCCACTTGTCAAGGATTCACCTACAGTGGGGATCGAAAGTTTGGGCACCCCAGCTAAAAATTTGTATTAATGTGCATAAAGAAGCCAAGGAAAGATGGAAAAATCTCCAAAAGGCATCAAACTACAGATTAGACATTCTTATAATATGTCAACAAAAGTTAGATTTTATTTCCATCATTTACACTTTCAAAATAACAGAAAACAAAAAAAAAAATGGCGTCTGCAAAAGTTTAGGCACCCTGCAGAATTTATAGCATGCACTGCCCCCTTTGCAAAGCTGAGACCTGCCAGTGTCATGAATTGTTCTCAATCATCGTCTGGGAAGACCAGGTGATGTCAAGCTCAAAGGTTTTAAATGCCCAGACTCATCTGACCTTGCCCCCCAACAATCAGCACCATGGGTTCTTCTAAGCCAGGGGTCTGCAACCTTTAAGACATAAAGAGCCACTTGGACCCGTTTCCGAAGGGAAAAAAAAGACTGGGAGACGCAAAACCATTGCAACATTTATAACAAATCCGACACTGCATATATTGCAAAAAGCACTCTGGTCATGAAGGGGGTTTAAGGGCCCAGTAAGCAAAGGGTTAATCAGGGCCACAGTGTATCTCATAATCACAATCATAGCCTTAGGTCAGTGGTGGGCAACCTTTTTTTTCAACTGAGCCAAATCTCGCCAAAACCACGATTGAAATTTATTTTGACAGCCACATTTTTAAAACTGAAAATACATCCCCCATATAGTAATTCATCCCCCATAGTAATTCATCCCCCATATAGTAATTCATCCCCCATAGTAATTCATCCCCCATATAGTAATTCATCCCCCATATAGTAATTCATCCCCCATATAGTAATTCATCCCCCATATAGTAATTCATCCCCCATAGTAATTCATCCCCCACATAGTAATTCATCCCCCATAGTAATTCATCCCCCATATAGTAATTCATCCCCCATATAGTAATTCTCCCCCCATATAGTAATTCATCCCCCATATAGTAATTCTTCCCCCATAGTAATTCATCCCCCATATAGTAATTCATCCCCCATAGTAATTCATCCCCCATATAGTAATTCTTCCCCCATAGTAATTCATCCCCCATATAGTAATTCATCCCCCATATAGTAATTCTTCCCCCATATAGTAATTCATCCCCCATATAGTAATTCATCCCCCATATAGTAATTCATCCCCCATATAGTAATTCATCCCCCATATAGTAATTCATCCCCCATATAGTAATTCATCCCCCATAGTAATTCATCCCCCACATAGTAATTCATCCCCCATAGTAATTCATCCCCCATAGTAATTCATCCCCCATATAGTAATTCATCCCCCATATAGTAATTCTTCCCCCATATAGTAATTCTTCCCCCATAGTAATTCATCCCCCATATAGTAATTCATTCCCCATAATTCATCCCCCACATAGTAATTCTTCCCCATAGTAATTCATCCCCCACATAGTAATTCATTCCCCATAGTAATTCATCCCCCATAGTAATTCATCCCCCATAGTAATTCATCCCCCACATAGTAATTCATCCCCCACACAGTAATTCATCCCCCACACAGTAATTCATCCCCACACAGTAATTCATCCCCCATATTGTCTCAATTCACTTACCTTTGCTCCGCGCGTTCCTCTCGCTGTGTTCCCGCGCCGTTCTGGTCTTCAGGGCGGACTGAGAGAGGAGTTCGTCACTCTGCCCCGCCTACATCCTGGCTGCCCCACCTACATCCTGACAGCCAATGTTCCACGCTCCGCGGGCCGGATTTTTGAGGAGGGAGGGGGAGCGGGCGCCCGGCACACAGAAGAGCCGCATGTGGCTCGCGATCTGCGGCTTGCCGACCACCTGGTGGGCAGTGTGCTCCGGAGCCGCAGCAAAGATGAAAAAGAGCCGCATGCGGCTCTGGAGCCGCGGGTTGCCGACACCCGTTCTAAGCAGTTGTCTAGAAAACTGAAACTGAAAATAGTTGACGCTCACAAAGCTGGAGAAGGCTATAAGAAGATAGCAAAGCGTTTTCAGATGTCAATATCCTCTGTTCGGAATGTTATTAAGAAATGGCAGTCATCAGGAACAGTGGAAGTTAAAGCAACATCTGGAAGACCAAGAAAAATATCAGACAGAACAGCTCGCAGGATTGTGAGAAAAACAATTCAAAACCCACGTTTGACTGCATGATCTCTCCAGAAAGATCTGGCAGACACTGGAGTTGTGGTACACTATTCCACTATAAAGAGATACTTGTACAAATATGGTCTTCATGGAAGAGTCATCAGAAGAAAACCTCTTCTACGTCCTCAACACAAAAATCATCGTTTGAACTTTGCAAATGAACATATAGACAAGCCTGATGCATTTTGGAAACAAGTTCTGTGGACCGATGAGGTTAAAAATTGAACTTTTTGGCCGGAATGAGCAAAGGTACGTTTGGAGAAGAAGGGGCACAGAATTTTAATGAAAAGAACCTCTGTCCAACTGTTAAGCATGGGGTTGGATCAATCATGCTTTGGGGTTGTGTTGCAGCCAGTGGCACAGGGAACATCTCACGAGTAGAAGGAAAAATGGATTCAATAAAATTTCAGCAAATTTTGGATGGTAACTTGATGCCATCTGTGGAAAAGCTGAAGTTAAAGAGAGGATGGCTTCTACAAATGGATAATGATCCTAAACACACACTCGAAATCCATGGGGGATTACATCAAGAGGCGTAAACTGAAGGTTTTGCCATGGCCTTCACAATCTCCTGACCTCAACATAATTGAAAATCTATGGATAGACCTTAAAAGAGCAGTGCGTGACAGACAGCCCAGAAATCTCAAAGAACTGGAAGACTTTTGTAAGGAAGAATGGGCAAAGATACCTCAAACAAGAATTGAAAGACTCTTGGCTGGCTACAAAAGCGTTTACAAGCTGTGATACTTGCCAAAGGGGGCAGTACAAGATATTAACTCTGCAGGGTGCCCAAACTTTTGCAGACGCCATTTTTTTGTTTTCTGTTATTTTGAAAGTGTAAATGATGGAAATAAAATCTAACTTTTGTTGACATATTATAAGAATGTCTAATCTGTAATTTGATGCCTTTTGGAGATTTTTCCATCTTTCCTTGGCTTCTTTATGCACATTAATACAAATTTTTAGCTGGGGTGCCCAAACTTTCGATCCCCACTGTACACAGTCCGGGTTTTGAATCATGTGTCCAGGAATCAGTCCACCTGCAGTTCAGATACATACCTCCCAACCAGGGGCGGACTGACCATTTGGAAACTCTGGCACTGCCAAGGGCCCGGGGTCAGTAGGGGGCCCCATGAGATGCCCCTGGTACCTTTTTCATAGGCTTTTTTTGAGTTTGGGCAAAGACACAGGGGCCCCATGATCCCCTATTGCCCGGGGGCCCCATGAGTTGTCAGTCCGCCCCTGCTCCCAACTGTCCCGGGATTTCAAATAAACCTGTCCCACAGATCTGGGCCAGAGTTCCGAAGCGTGTGCTCTCATACAATGCACTCAGTGAGGATTCCTGTCGGAAGCACTTGCCTATGCTGTGGTTTCTCCCCCATCTGAATCAGCTTTGCAGTTATTGGTTGCTAGGACCGCCTGCATCCTAGCAACTGATGATATGCTTTGCCACTGTGCACAGTGGGGGAATATAGCACTA